CAAATTTGTATCCCATGCATTCATCAGTACCGTGTCGTCAGTTCCATGTTGGATGTTTCGTTTCTCTTTTTTTTTAGCAAACTTCAATTTAAATTCTGCTTGCGCAGAACTTGTTTATTTAATGTCATTATAAACTCTTATAAATTTGGTGTGGATCCCATTTTTAATAATGGAGATAACGGGATACCAAAAATCCACCAGCCGCCACTGATGTGTGGTATTATTTGATTTTAAGATATTTAATGTATAATATGCTCAAAGTTGCAATAAATCTTATATTTTCCAATAAATTATGTATTCAATTAGTACCCTGGTATACTCGTCACTTCCCTTGCATTTAAATTTAGAAAACACAGATATTTCAGAAACTGTTTGAAAAAGTGACTGGCCCGGTCTGGAACAGTATATTTATTATATTATTCATGTTCTCATAACAAAATACTGTTTAATTTTCTCCGAAAACAAAATGAGGTCAAAAGTTGCCCAACTTTTGTAGAATCACCCATATATTAGAAAGATAACAATTCAAAATCTATAAACCCTTTTAAAAACTACAAAGCTTTAAAATGTGTAAGATTTTTATTAAAACAGCCACAAAAATTAACAATTTTTAGACCCCTATAACTTTTTTAAAAATAATCGAATTCTAACAAAATATCCATGGTATACCAAAAAAAATGCGCTTTTTAAAACGGCATAAACCATTTTTATTAAAACCTATATTTTTCGTGATCATCCAAACTAATCAAATCGTGTAGTATTTCTTTTTAAATTTAATAAAAATACCTGTATAAAAAGCGATTAAGTTATATTAGGGGTGACATCGATTTAAAATAATTATAATATCGGCTTAGACTAAGGGAAGTGGGGATGGTTTCGTATAAATAGGATGAAAGCCGCAAAAGTTGTTAGTATCCGTTTCAAGATTGAGGGTAGTAGATACTATAGTGTCAGTGCTTTTTGGTTTAGTTGCAATGGTTATGGTGACCAGTGATTAAAACAATATTGTAAGTGAACATAGAGAACACAAAAAAGTATTACTTTTCTTACAATTAACCATTTTTTAAAGATATAAATAAAGCTTTGAAATTAATTAACAAAAAATTGGACTTAATACAATATAACTCCAAAAACAGAAAATCGTTTTTTGTGATTTATTCAAGGTATATTAAAAATGCTTTTAACTTTGTTTAAATATGATTATTCTTGTAAAGGTTACAGAACTTTGAAACTAATTTAAAAATATAATAACTTTTATAAAAAGTTTTGTCAAAAATATAATATAAATTTTAAAGTTGTATTATACATATAGCCATTTTTGTATCTAAAATAAATAAACTGATAAACCACCCTTACTTATATTGAACGCTATTTCTGGGTTTAAATAATTTATAAACATCTGTTGTTCTCAGTTGATACTCTATAATTATTTTTCAAAGTATATTGGACATCGTTATATTGATTTTAGTTTTAGTAATGGAAGTTAAAGTTAAAAAACAATATTTGTACTAAAAGACGCATATTTATTGTAAAATTGATCATTTTGATTTCATGCAATTTTTTTCAGGAAAATTTTGAAAAAAAAAGAAATTTTTACTACAGCTGCTGGACGCTGCACAAGATTAGACATGAAAACTCTTGTGCGTGTGACAGCGGCTATTGTGGAAAATTTCCTTCAACAGTCGAAAAAAAAAGATATCGCAAAAAAATTTAAAAAAAACAGCATTTGCCGATGCTTTCTGTTTTTTTTTAATATTGTTTCTTTAAACAATACTGTTTTTCTCAAATAAAGGTTTTTCTTTTTCTGAAAGCTCCTGGTACAAAAACGCAAAAATTAAATAATTTTGTAAGTCATTGTCAAATAAGTATGACATATTTTTGTCGAAAATTTAACGCTCTATATCTTTTAAATGGTTAGAGTAATCGCTTAAACACATTAGTTCTCTTTTGTAGAGCATTCAATTTTCTACAAAAATATGTATAAAGATTTGATAAAACTATTCATTAGTAATGAAATATGGTATTTTTTATAAAGGACTCAAAAAATAGAAAATTTGTTATTTTCAAATTTTTTGTACATTTGCTGTACCTTTACTTAATATTTTATAAAAAATTGAGTTTAACGCCATTTGGAACTTTGGAAGTGTTTTTAGCAACTATATACACTCACAAGCAAAATAATCCATCCACACAAATTTTCGATGAATTTCAATCGCAAATAACTTTTTTATTTGATGTCGGATTTAAACGAATATTAAAGAATATAGTAGATAAATTAATGGACAATCGCTCACATTTTAAAAAATTACTAAAAAATAGACGTACGTTTATAATATACAGGTTTAAACAAAAATATGTTTTTTACCATAAGTTTAAGATACTCTGTAAAGTGGCAAAACCGTATATTGTTCTAAATTAAGTTTTATTTATCAAGTCACACCTATTCTTAACAGTTTGGTTTTTGGTTCCCCTCGATATATTTATTTTTGTGGAAAATATGGATTTTTTAAAAAAACATTGCAATTTCCAATATTTTTCTGTATGAAGAACTAAGGTTGCTATGGTCCATCCATATGCTATGGAGAATGACAGTGACAGTTTTGTTGAATCATCCCATACTTGGACATGTCATACACGGCTTTCAAAAGCTATCAAATTGTTTTTTGCAAATTAATGTTTAAATTTTGAGGTGTCTTCTTACTTTAAAAAATGGATATGTCCCCGACTGATGTTGCCAGAGTCATTAATTTAATCCAGGATGGACGGTCACAGTATTACGTGGCAAGTGTTTTAAACGTCACAAGAAGTAAAGTACAAAGGGCAACATTAGTCGGAGACATTTTTAAAAGTAAGAAGACACCTCAAAATTAACACATTAATTTACAAAAAAACAATTTGATAGCTTTTGAAAGCTGTATATGACATGTCCAAGTATGGGATGATTCAACAAAACTGTCACTGTCATCCTCCGTAGGCTATGGATGGACCATAGCAACCTTAGTTCTTCATACAGGAAAAATATTGGAAATTGCAATGTTTTTAAAAAAAAATCCATATTTTCCACAAAAATAAATATATCAAGGTGAACCAAAAACAAAACTGTTAAAAATAGATGTGACTTGATAATTAAAACTTAATTTAGAACAATATACGGTTTTGCCACTCTACAGAGTGTCTTAAAGTTATGGTAAAAAACATCTTTTTGTTTAAACCTGTATATTATAAACGTACGTGTATTTTTTAGAAATTTTGAAAATGTGAGCGATTATCCAATAATGTATCTACAATATTCTTTATTATTTGTTTAAATCCGAAATCAAATAAAAAAGTTATTTGCGATTGAAATTCATCGAAAATTTGTGTGGATCGATTATTTTGCCTGTGAGTGTATTAGCAAAATTGTAAAATTTTAAATTTAACTTAATAAAAAAATTAAACTTTCCCCAACAGTACAGAAAAGTAGCTAGTATATATTTTCAAAATGATTAAGCATTTTTATATAAGTTTTTTCAATGTGTTAGTAAATTTGTGACCCAGCGGACCATTTTTTTCTTTTTTAAGGGCAATGTAAATAAAACTTCCTGTATATGCTCTTATGTAACATTTAATGATTGAATATATTTACCATATTACAATAATATTTAACACATCTATAGTAAAAGGTAAATATGTAATTTTTGGTAAAAAAAATCAGTCAAAATTAAAGAAAAATTTATAATAGGGTCAGAATTTCTCAAACGGGCCACCTGAATTAGGTCAAAATTAGTTTTTGTTTGTAGATACATTTTTTTGATAGTATTTTACATCACTAACACAAATCCTAAAGGATTTTGTAAAAAAAAAATTTTCAATTGACATATTCATGATATTAAAAGTCAAAGTTTTTAATAATTAAAAAATAAAAAAATTCATTATGGCTGAACTAATTATCCGATTCCAACGATATAACTAGCGTTGGAATCTTGTTTTGACATAGATTCTTTGTTATTTTTTTCAATTGTCCTATTTTCATTTAGGTCGATTTTTTTTTGTTTTTTTTATACCAAATTCGGAAATAATTGCCTTCTGCGCCAGCTATCGACTCGAGAAAAAAAACACATATACTCCAATCATTTCTCGAAATTATGCTGCTGAGAAAAAAAAATGGCCCGCAGGTTGACAAAAAGTTATTCGTCCTTTTGTGGCCGCGCGCGGTGTCAGCTCACGCTCCGAACCGTGTACGCTGTACGCGCTTGTGACGCGACGTCTTACGGTGGTCTGGAACCTGCGGGCCATTTTTTTTCTCAACAGCATAATTTCGAAAAATGATTGGAGTATATGTGTTTTTTTTTTCGAGTCGATAGCTGGCGCAGAAGCCAATTATTTCCGAATTTGTTATAAAAAAAACAAAAAAAAATCGACCTAAATGAAAATTTTACAATTGAAAAAAATAACAAAGAATCTATGTCAAAACAAGATTCCAACGCTAGTTAAATCGTTGAAATCGGATAATTAGTTTAGCCATAATGATTTTTTTTTATTTTTTAATTACTAAAAACTTTTACTTTTAATATCATGAATATGTCAATTGAAAAATTTTTTTTTACAAAATCCTTTAGGATTTGTGTTAGTGATGTAAAATACTATCGAAAAAATGTATCTACAATCAAAAACTAATTTTGACCTAATTCAGGTGGCCCGTTTGAGAAATTCTGACCCAATAATCAAATACAATAAAAAAAATAACCAAATTAGTACTATCCTACTATCACAAAATCTTTAATAATGCAATATATTATTACAACGTAAAAAATTAAGACTTGATTCTCAACAATAAATTAAAAATAAATTATTCTCGAAATAACATAAAAATGTAATAATATAATTAGGTAAAATATACCTATAATAATAGAGATCACTATTTAAATACGTCTTTATTTAAAAAGGTTGTCCACCCTATACAGGGTGCGGCCATTTTTGGTCAAACTTTTGAACTTTTGCGTTGGCACCCTGCAGATGGCGCTACAATACATCAACATAACCAACAAAAACAAAAACTTACGTCTTACAGCCCCGTCCAGTGGAATGCTTATTTTCGCGGTGGATTTAAGATTGGCCGTCCTTAAACTTCGCAACGTACAACTTAGGTCAGTCTTGCTCGATTTTCTTGTTCGGCTTCGGGGCTGACCCCTCGTCGAATAGAAGGGTGCACAGCACTGCTTGCAGCTTGTAACGCGCCGGCGAAAAGTTCGAGTCCAAAGCCAGGCAGGCTCGGTAGAACGCCACCGACTTTTCCAGTTCGCCCTGTACAAAAAAAGTGTCACACTGCATCTCTATGTTCATAAAAAATTTGTTTTCTTAATTTCAGAGCACCCTGTATATTTGATGAAATTTTTTTATGAAAATGTCATTTTTTAAACAATCAGATTCTTTATGAAGAATAAATTGTTTCGTTAAACGCAGGGCACTCATCTTTTGAAGCATTTTCAATTTTTTTTTATTTTTGACCGCCCTGTACATTTAATTCAATTTTTGTATGGGAATCTCATGTTTTTCTATTGACAAACCAATTTGGAGACACTGTATATTTCACGCCAAATCAAATTTAAAATTTGTAAACTTTAAATTTAATTTTTTTTATGAAAATCTCATTTTTTAAACAATCAGAGTCTTTATGAAGAATAAATTGTTTCGTAAAACGCAGGACACTTATCTTTTGAAGCATTTTCAAATTTTTGACCACCCTGTACATTAGACTGGGCCAAAAAAATTGACTTTTTTTTTTTTGAAAAATATATCAAGAATGTCATTCAGAATGACAAAACTAATGAATCAATGAATATTTAAAAAAGCTTACGTTGGATTCTTAAAGGAAATTTAATGTTCTACCAAAAAGGTCTCTTAACATTTTTGCCTAAATTTAATTCTTCAAAAGTTATTCACGAAGAAAAAATTGAAATTTTAAGTTTTTCTTCGATTTTAATCGTGAATAACTTTTGAAGAATTAAATATAGGCAAGAATGTTAGGAGAACTTTTTTGTAGAACATTAAATTTCCTTTAAGAATCCGACGTAAGCTTTTTTAAATATTCATTGATTCATTAGTTACAAAATTTCAAAGTAAAAAGGGCAAATCGAAAAAACACATCGATTTATTAAGCTCAATTACTCGGAAACGGCTCGTCTGAAAATTTTCAATTAGACCTTTTTTGTAGAGAATTTAATTTTATATAAAAATAAATGAAAAGGAATTTTTTTCACTCAAATGTTTTGACAGTTCTAACGTAAAACATCAAATTATGACTAAAAATCAAAAATAGCGATGATAGACCTCTTAAAATTAATATTAAAGGCTCAAATTTTCACGAAATTTTTTTTGTCATTCTGAATGACATTATCGATTTAAAAAAAAAAATAGTCAATTTTTTTGGCCCAGACTACTGTACCTTTTATTCAATTTTTGTATGGGAATCACATGTTTTTCTATTGACAAACCAATTTGGAGACACACTGTATATTCCACGCCAAATTAATTTTTTTTTATGAAAATCTCATTTTTTAAACAATCAGAGTCTTTATGAAGAATAAATTGTTTCCTAAAACGCAGGGCACTTATCTTTTGAAGCATTTTCAAATTTTTGACCACCCTGTACATTTAATTAAATTTTTGTATGGAAATGTATGTTTTTCTATTTTCAAATCAATTTGGAGACACTGTATATTCCACGCCAAATCAAATTTAAAATTTTTACATATAATACTACCCCACTAAAAATGTTTTTTTTTCGAAAGAATTTTTTTTTAATTGTCAATTTGAGAGGTTATTTAAATTTTATAAAAAAAACATTGTCATATTCTATTATAAGTCATATTCTATGATAAGAACAGGTTGGATTGCGAAAAAACAAAAAATAAATAAAAATAAAAAAAGGAAGAAAAGTTTGACCACTATGAGACATTAAACTCAGAATAAATAAAAAATATTATTTTGAAAAAATAAAAAATGACCTTTAAAACAGTTTTTCTTGAAAACTGAAAAATTTCAAAAAATATGACTTTAAATATTTTGTTTGTATTTTTTTTGGGAAAAGTGCGTTTAAAAACAAAAAAATTGAAAAAGAAACATCTTGATTAGTCAGTTTTTAAATAAGTTATTTAACTTTTTTTTGAAGAACCTTTGTGGAATTTGATATACAGGGTGTCCTGAAAATGGTATGTCAATCTGTAAGGGGGTAATTTTAAGTGCATAAAATTCCAACAAAAAAAGTGATGTTACTGTAGTTTTTAAGGAAATAAGGGTTTAAAAATTGAATTTTATTTTTATTCTTTTTTCTGTGTTATGTCATTTGTAATAGTATATTATTATACGAGAGATAATGCAGGCTGTTATTCACGACTCGAGTCATCTGTCAAATGGTTAACCTAACTTTTTACCAATTTCTAATATTATTAAAGTCGCCTTCTCCCAATTTAAAACCCGATTGGTTGAAATCACAGTCAACATTTAAATGTGCCAATTACTGATGCCTTACAACGTGAATAATGAGTTCATTATTCCCGTTGTCAGGCAGGGATTTTATGTTTATCATTATACACGCAAAAACCCAATATTATGAAATAGGAGTAGATCATGGTATATTATGTATCAAGTTTTATAAACGCCATTTTAGTTTTATTGGGCACGAGCAAAGCTTGCGAGCGAGTGTTTGATAAAAACGAGTGTCTAGAGAAGTTTATAAAACTAGTTGCATACTATATCGACGAAGAACACAATTTATAATTTAGCTAACTTCAGCCCGTGACTAAAATGCCATAAAGAGAGCTTATCAATAGGGGAGAAGACGTATAATGAACTATATTTGAATAATACTAATTTTTGGAACACTCTGTATACAATACAAAATAGCGAAAATTAATTAATTTTAACTTCTAAAAAAACTATAAAATTTGAGAAAATAAAAAAAACAGAAATTTCCTTAAATTCTAATAGGTATTGCAATATTTTTTATTATATACCTACTATTGGTATCTTAATATCAGAGTACCTACCTAATATAAAATAAAAAACGAAAGAAAAAGTACTTTTTAATGTTTTTTAACATTTATGTGCTGTTGCCAAATTTATTGCAACGTTGTCAAAAACAGTACTCACCATTGAAATGTGTATGTTCGCAATGGTAAAATGATTCAAAACGAAGTTATTGTATATCCCCAAGGCCAGATGTGCTATCTCCAACGCGTCGGAATGATAACCAACCCTGATAAACGAAAAAAAAAATCACCAAATGTAAAAAATAACCAAATTTGTACCGTTCAAACCTGTTCAGCAAATTCGCCATGTGATTGAGAGGCACGTCTCTCATTTCGTCCGGTACATAAGTCAACGCGACACGTAGACATGACAACGCCTCGCCGCTGTTGCCGATCACTCGCCAATAAACCGACGCGGCCACCGCTAGAATCCAGGATTCCTCGTTCTGCAACGACAACAAAAAAACGTTTTCTTACTACCTCGACTCAAAATACGTTGTTTCGTCCCCGATTCCACGGCAGAAAGTTTACGTTTTATGCATTGGTCAAGCTATACGCGCACACTCTAATAGCGGGAGTAAACATTTTTTAGTCGTGTGCTTAACATTCAAATTTCGTACTGCCAACATGAGAAACACAAAAATATGACAGTTTTAAACCATAATTTTGCAATTATAACAACAAATAAACAATTTATGTTTTTACTTTTTATGTTGTTTTAAGTGTTTAATGAGACTTTTATTTGTTATAAAGTAGTAATTTGTTAATTAAAATACAACGTTTTATTTTTACTGTATTGGCACCGCTGAATTCACGGCCTACTGTTATTTATTTATCAAGCTCTTCAAATGGAGATAGGTACATAAATACACATTTAATTTTTTCCCGTATTTTCGGCCGGGTTGTATTTTCGGCCGAGGTAGTAAGAAAAATAGTATACACTACACGGGCAGAAAGTGTGAGAGCCCTGAACTGCGTGCCATGATGCAGGAATCTCACACTTTCTGCCCTTGTAGTGTAATATACTATTTTTTCCGTTATTTGCTTTTCGACATACTTACGTCTTCAAGAGCCACCGCGATTTTGTAGCCCAACTCTTCGACCGACGCTCTTCTATCGCTGGCCATCAGCCCGAGGAGTTCCGCAAGGTCCTCGTCGGGGGCGTTTCCCAACTGGAGTTTGAACGCGGCCGAACGTAAGTAGTCCAAAGTGTTCATGTTGCCCGGAATCACTTCCGTGCAGTAAGGTTCCAGCTTTGAAACTACATACTCATAGCTGGACCTCAAGAATGGTGTTATGCTAAATATGAAGAAAAAAAAACAGGTGAGAACCCAGTGGCGGATCCACATATTAAAAGATAATGTGCAATATAGAATATATAAAAAGCGCTGGGCGCCAAAATGTTCAGAAACTAAAAGTTTTTTGGGAATAAAATTTGTGTTCATTAACAGTTCATTTTTTTGGGGTTGTATTTAAAAAATGGTTCTGCTGAAGACCTTAATTAAATACTGTCAAATTGACAGTAATATTTATTATTGATAATTTACTTGTTAATTATTATATAATATCGATATAAAAAGATAACTATGCCAAAAATAATATTAGATTCTAAAGTAAAAGAACTTTTAAGGGCAAAACTTCATTTCGATGAAGTTATGCCAAATGCCTCAATGGCAGAAAAAGTACATCGCGTTATGGACATTTTTGGAATAAAAAAGTAACGTGTATGGTTTTACAAATTAAATCACACATTATTTTCAGCTAAGCAGATCAAAAATTTTTGAAATTTTGAAAAATAAGGGGGAAATAAAAAAACAAAAAATAAAAATTATTTGCTGTTAGGTTCAACCTTTTTGTGAAAAATCTAGTAGTTAATTTTCCTGTCTTTGAAAATAGCATCCATTTGGTTTGAAAAAGATAAGCAATAATCACGAAACTTTTTCTTAAGCCACTACAAGTATTAACGTCCAGTGTCTTTAACAAAATACCCATTCACCATTGGAGTCCAATGATTGGACAACATTCACGTATATATACGTATATCACATCGTATATATATGTATATACAGGGTGTTATGTAATTAATGTTATATATTAAAATGGGTTGTTCCTTAGGGTCCATAAAGAAGCACCTGAAACTTTTTTTTTCTAAATTCCAAAGTCTAAAAATAATTTATAATAACCTTTATCCTACCAAAAAGTACGCCACTGATCGACTAGGAACTTTAGGTTAATCTGGTGGATTTATTATGTTATGGTTGGTAACAGTGTTTCCAAAATCTCTTAAAAAAGTTGACAAACATTGTTTAAATTTAGCTTAATTACAAAAATGACAAAATTAACAATGCAAATTGTCAATTTGGCGTTTTTATTAATTGTTGGTTATTTCATTTTTGTACTGAAGGTAAATTCAAACAAAATCTGCCAACTTTTATGACAGAATCTAGTGCATTTCTTTTAAATTTTAGGTTATGTTTTCAAATTGTAAATATCTTAACTAAGGGAAGTGCTTTTGGATTTATTTACAAAAATTAAATGTTTAAAGTTTAACCTGTGAACTGGTCCCAATTTCATCTGAGTAAACAGAGAAAAAAACTGATGAAAAAATTAATTTTGTGGTTATGGATTTCAAATTTCAAAGGTAGTAAATTTTCTAATCATTGCTTAAGCTAATAGCTGGATCAGTAAATAAATACAGAAGGGTATTAGAGCTTTAAGGTTATAAAACTTTTGTATTTATTGAGTTTTTATTTATTTTTTGCAAGAAAAATTTTTAGTAACAATTTTTTACATCTGGCAACGCATAGCTACTTTGTTGGTTGGTATCTATGTACTCACAAAATCAGGTGTGCAAGTGTGTAACCAGTGGCGTATCACAAAAAAATATAAAAAACTTTTAATGCATATTTTTTCTTTATCTTTGGAAAAATGTTTTTTAAAATATTTTTCCTTTATTCCTTATGTCAAAAGGTATTCAGTATTTAAATATATAACATTAATTACATAACACCCTGTATAGCTACATTATTTAAAAATTAACATGATGTTGTGATGTGCTGTGGGCTGCTCTAACAGTCAAGTTATGATGCATAATTTTCACAATGATGACGAGGTTGTATTATATTATTCAATTATTTTATTAAAACAATGAAATACTTACACAAATGTAGTACATAATATTATTACTTTATACTGATTTGTGTTCTTTAGTTGTATTGTTAATTGGTATAAATACCTTGAATATTTTAAAATGTAATACATTTATTTATCTATTTTGCGTTATAACACAGCTTTCGGTGCTGTAATGAGATACTTCATCCCATCCAAAATTTTGATTTTATAGGCTGGCTATACTTTAAACAGCATAATATTTTGCATATTGGTTATAATATTTTTATGATTTTTCTAGTACTTACGAGAAGTAATAAATTTTGTTTAACACCAAAGAAAATCCTTTTTTCTTCTTTAACATTAACAGCCGCTTATTGTAAATAAGTAAATTAAGGACGGCATGGCGAATTGATTTTGACATTAACTGTCAAACCAATGACTGTGATACCAACTATCTAAAGTAAAATTCGACCAAATTAAATATAAGGTATAACATTTTTTTTACGACCACTATGTAAGTCACATTTCGTATTGGCATCGCTTAGAAAATGAATCTTTTCATTGGCAAGGCAAAACTCGAATAAAGTGACATTTCTGTGTGAAAAGTGACAGGTCTGTGTGAAAAGAAATTGACAGCATCGTTTGACATTCGTTTCAAAATTCTATTGTATTTGTGTTCTAAATATCATTTAGAACACAATTAATTGTGTTTGTATAATAAATTCTAGTTTTTAGTGCCCTTATTTAAATTGAGAAGGTAAGATGAAAGAATTTTAACAGCTGTCAAACACGTTTTTAGGTTTTTTGTTTTGTATTTGAACATAATAAAAAATAAAAGGGTCGTAAAAAAAAAACATTGAGTTTCACTTGTGAGAAAAGCTTTCTTCAAGCTCGTGTTAATGCACACTCGGCCTGACGGCCTCGTGAGCAACTTGAACACTCGCATGAAAAAGTCGCTTGTAAACACTTGTAAACACTTGTAAAACAAATAACTATTTTATATAGAATTTTTGAAAAAAATAGCATGAAGAACTCATGTCATAAGACCTTTTGTCGCACTCGTCCATTACAAAATAAATTGTCCGAATGCGACAAAATGACGTCTTATGACATTAGTTCTTTAATATACTATTTTGCTTTTTAAATAAACAATTGAAATAAACTATTAGGCCTTTTATTTTTTACTATTTTGACAAAATTTGACAGGATAACCTAAATTAAAACAAGAGATAGCACAAGAGGAACCCAGGACGTCCATTTCGGGTACCACATACGTTCGAACGTCCCAGACCTATATCAGAAGTTTTGGGTACGTCCAGTCTCTTACTTATTTGGGAAAATTAAAGCGGATTTACTCGGCACGTCCCAAGGATTTAATTTTTGTTTTTTTTTAGCAATTAAAGCATGTTATTTCCAAAGGGTCTAAGTGTCAAGTTGGCTAAATAATATATTATCGTAAGTAATATCATAAGGGCATTTAATTTTTTCGAAAAAAATCGAAAAAACACGTTGCTAAGTAATATTTTAACAAAAAGCATGAGTGCTGGTGGCAACAAAAATCCGAGTCGAAGAGGAGGATTTTTGCACCTGCACGAATGCATTGTGTTTTTTCGATTTTTTTCACAGGAAAAATTAGATGCCCGAATGGTATTTGACAAGACTATTTCATGAGTAACAGTTAACAATTAAAATATAAATTGCAATTTTTGGTGACAACAGCTGTCAAGTTTTGCCGCGGGTAAACTTGAAAAAACTGCTGACAGGTGCTGTCACACAGTTTTTTCACCTAGAAACCATTTGTAATTCAAAATTGCGCGTTTGTGATTGGTGGAAATTAAGACGAGGGAAATAGTCATTTAAAAATAGTTTTTGTCATGCAGAATAACTTAAAAAATATTCCAACATTCAAAATATTTGTTTTTCATTGATAACTCACAATTTTATTTTTGTCATTTAGACCCTTTGGGAATACCACTCTTCAATTCTGTAGAGCTTGTCCAATAATCCCCAATAAAGTATTTCAGGACGGCCAGAGGATGTCTTACTTAAGACGTTCTGAGGACCGACGATTTGGTAACATCGGATGTCCCTGGTACGTCCTGGGGAAGGTTCAGGACCTGATTCGGACGTACTCGGGACTTACTAATGTCTGATACAAGATATACTCAGGACGTTTCCAGTACTTCTTTGTGCTATCTGGGTAGCGGTAGGAGCGTGCGTAACAAGGAGCGTCAAATAAGTGACAGTGGCGAATCTATATGATTTATTATCTATGACGTAACCTACAATAATTTAAACATAACCACAATCAGATTCATTATATTTATAACTATAGTTATAAATATCACAGTGACTAGAGGCACGCTAACGTACCGCGATTGAAAATATTAAAGGCACGTTAGTTACGTCATAATTATAATCCGTTTTTGTTCCCCGAGCGTTTAATATTTGACATCACGCTAGATAGCTTATATGGTAGGCAGCGTTGCCATTCGTACGGTTATTACCGTATTTGTACGGTAATTTGAATAAAAATACGGTATACGTTCCAAACCTCAATACCGTACACAAATGTACGGTAAATTTACTAACTGATATATTTTTATTCATAATATTATTAACAATATTTTTTTTGTGTTTTTATTCTATTTGTTTATTGTCTATAGAAAAACCTATATGGTCCTTTCCTTCTATGTCTTCTATACATTTAAAGCATACACTTAAGTGGAAGTGGAGGTATGTGCATTTACATTAATATAGTGCCATCTAGGGAATTCTTAGTAAATAAATGGAGCACTCTGACTGTAAGGTTCTGTAATGCCGACATTGATGAGAGAGAATAATAAAATTAACTTAACTTTTATACTCTCTATTTTCTTTGCTAAAAGCGACGACGCAAAACCAATTTGTTTTAAATTTGTATATTCCCGCTAAAATTAAAGTGTTTTGTTATTTGGTTTTGTTATTAAATATGTCTGATTCGAGTAGCGATGATGAACCATCTGCAAAAAAATAAAAGGAACCCACCGAAAACAGTTTTCAATAAAAAAATTTTTTTAATTTTGTTTAATTGTTTTGTTGCATTTATATATTTTATATATTAAGTATTTTATTTTAATTTTTCAAATGTACGGTAATTTTTTTTAAATACGGTAATTTTTACCAAGCAGGTACGGTAATTTCATTTTGACCATCTGATAACGCTGATGGTAGGGCGGTCGCTTGGCATGCGAGAGGTCCCGGGTTCGATACTAAGAAGTTGTCGAACTTTTTTTATTTTTTTATTTCATAAATTTGTTGTTTCTTTGTTAAACAGTGTTCGGTTGGGTTGGGTTGGTTGGTTTGTTTTAGTTTTATCGTAACATAAAATCTACTAGAAGTTGTCGAACTTTTTTTATTTCATAACTTTGTTGTTCCTTTGTTAAAAAGTGTTTTATTTTTATCGTAACATAAATTTGCCCATTTTAGTTGGGTTTTTTGCTCAATGGGGCGGGGGGGGCCAATGGGGCGGGGTCGGTTGGGTTGTGTTGTTGAGTTTGGGATGGTTTGGATTTATGACGTAACTAACGTGCCTTTAACATTTCAAATCGCGGCACGTTAGCGTGCCTCTAGTCACAGCGTATAAATATAATGTTAATCTGATTGTGGTTATGTTTAAATTATTGTAGGTTACGTCATAGATAATAAATCATATAGCTAAGCTTAGTTGGTTTTAATCAATGCGACCAACTTGACAACTGTATTTACCAACCAAAACCCTAAATTTGCAACGTTGCCGCAGTCCAGATAAAAAAGAACTTACCTCCTAGATAGATTTTGGGTCGGTTCTACTTACTCCAAACTCCTTGCGGCGATGCTGGGCCACACGGAAGTGTACTTGAACTCCTGCGTGATCTTCATGTTCTTGCACCCGCTGGGGCTCAGCGAGTAGGTCCCGAACTGGTCGTAGACGTGCAGCAGGTTCTCGCGTTCCGGGTCGTCGGAGAGGGCGACCGAAACTACAACACCAACTTGGATGAAACCGGGAGATTAATTTTCGCTTAGAGTGCAGTCTCACCGAAAAAGTCGCCCAGCCTGGCGTGCTCGTGCGCCGGGTGCTTCTCGCCCAGCGAGAGCCGCATGTGGAACGCGTGCGCAGGCGGCTTGTTGTCGCCCTCGTCGGTCACCGATTCGAGCTTCGATTGGTCCGGCTCCACGTCCCCCGACGCCCCTCCGTCGCTCGAGAGCAACGTGGAGATGAGAGTGTGGCCCAGGCCGATTTTTTCGCTGCTGTGGCTGTTACCGGAGAAGCACGACGGTTTTTTCAGCTCTAAAATATATTTTATGGTGGATTCATGCAGCACACATTAACATTAAGTGAGGCCTGTCGTAGCAAAACCGACAATCTCCACTTTTGGTCAAAAATTAGATTTTTGGCGGAGACTGTAACTAATTATCTATAAGATGATAAAGTTTATGTGCTGCAAAATCCTATTTTAAAAATGACATTTAGTGCAAAGTCGACAATCTCCACTGATAGATTTGCAGCAAAGTATACAATCTCCAATTCCACCATTAGAAATTAGTAATTTGTGTCACCTGATATCCTAACGTATTTTTGAGATTTAATTTTGTGTTTTGGTACATACTGTTAAGTTCTATTGCAGTAAATTGCACTTAAAAATATATTTAAAATAGGTATATATACGTTTTATTGTTTTAAGAATTATAAAAAAAGTTATCTTGTTTATTTTGTGCTATTATACCATAATAAGACGAAAAGGTAAAGCAAGAAAAGGCTGATAATGTCAAAACATTGCAAGTAAAACATACGGTATATGTGGTCCAGTTCAGAATTTTCCCACATTGATTGTATAGTTAAATTTTATAACCATTAAAGGAAAAAAATACAATTATTTTTTTGTTTATTTTTCTAAATCTCCTTAAACGTTTACAACAAAATGAGCAATCTCCAGCAATTCATATCAAAGTCAGCAATCTCCAATTTATAATTATAGATTTCACCTATACTATGCATCCTGGAGACCTTGTAGTTTGCTACTAGACTAACAACAACAATATTTCAATATAATATATATATTATATATAAAAAAATTACAAATCTAGAATTTAAAATGCCAAAATCAATTATCTCAATTTAGTCTGACGGGAGATTGTTGACTTTGCTCTGACAGGCCTCAAGTTAACATTAACATTAAGCGTGCGTATAAGTTAAAGTAATTTTAACATCTGACATTTTTGGTTTGTTTGGATTTTGTTTTAACCTGTTTTAGGTAAAATGAATTAAAACTATAAACTGCACGTCAAATAATAATCCAAAGAACACAATCATTGAATAAAAATTGAATCATTCAGCAGTAAGTTTCATTTTATTTTCGGGTATGTTGGCATTACTGTCACGGTTTATTTAAAAATTGCGCCGCAAACCTGCGCAGGAAAAATGCAAATTAACATTATCATTAAGAAGATAATAGTTATTTATGTCATTAGGTTAAGAAGTAAGGCTTTTTGTGCTAAGCTCAAGGTTTGAACAATTGAGCGAAGCACAAAAAGGCACTTCTTGGCCGAATGGCATACAAAATTTTATCTTCAAAGCACTTTATATAGGTCAATTTAATTCAACATCAAAGCGTCCTAACCACTTTTTTAGAATCTCATTTATTTATTAGCATTAAATGTACAATAATTATTATTGCTTTTAGAAGCAGTAATAGTTTGACAATACCTAGCAACATGATTTAAGTAGAAATGGATTTTTGCTATTACATTGAATTCAATTAATTGTTTAATAAATAGGTATGTATCTAATTTCAATTTGTTTGGATTTTTATTAAAAAATAGATAGGTTGAAATGTTTAAGCTGTGTTTAACATTTAATTTAACTGAAAACTTAAAGATAATTTAAATCGTAGAAAAAGAATCGTGCGTTTTCTTGGTTGCCTAACCTCACTTTTTGTTTTATTATTCATATTTAATTTTACAATAATTTAATGAAAAATATTAAACATTAACAGTAAAACAAACAAATTAGTGCTTATTATAAATAAATTAAACCAGTTTAGTACGTTAATTTCCTAGAAAAGGATTAATTTGGCAAAACAATACCCCTAGCGAGAAAAAATCAAACTAATTACTTGCCTCATAAAATTTTTTATCGGCCTAGGCCATAACAAGGTATTTCTTTATCGAATGTTGACAACAATAAAGTTTAAATTATAAACCGCGTGGAGATAAAAGTTCATTCGGGTTTTGTTTTTCGGAATCCCAGCACAAAAATATGCTGTTCAGTGCCAAATACATACAGTCTCCAATAGATTGTTTAATTTACGAATGATTTCCACGATGGATGGGTGAAATATTTAACGAAAAATCAGTGCATACGGCCATATGGTGCATGGTTGAAATTGAACTATTAAATGGAGTTTCAGTAATGAAAAATGGGTTTTGTTTTGTTTTGGTGTTGGGGAATATTTGTAATATTTGTCTAAAACATTTGGGTTATGTTTAATATAAGTTAAAATAAATACCTTCAGCGCCTAAATTTGTGGGGTAGCACTGTATAGAAGCCGTCTTACATTGTTCGCCATTTGGAGAGCATAGAACACCTTCGCCTTTGAAACTGGCGTCTTTTTTAACGCACATGCCATTAACAGGTTGTTCAGGTAAGGTACTAAACTTTGTGGTAGTAAAACCTCCCAATTTAACCCTGCAGGACCATAATTTGAGTAACTCTTCCGCTTTACCATCATAATAATCCGGTTCAACTCTCAAAACATTCTTCATGTAGTACATGGCCAGAAGGGGGTTATGTTTGGAGTAGTGCAGCAGGGCCAGCAAAAAATTGGTGCTCGGTTCCACATAGTTAATTTTGAAAGCCAAGGTGGCAAACTTTAAAGCTTGGTCGTTGAAACCAAGTTGGTACACGAGGGAACCTATAGACACCAAAACGACATCTGTCGGCTCTTTTGGTACTATTTGGAAAGCTAGGTCCAGGCAATCCAAAGCACGTCTAGCGTTGCCCCTTACTCTCCAATATAGACTAGCTAGTGTAGCTAGCACCCAACGGGGTGCGCTTTTCTAAAACAAACACGTTTTATTTTCAGGAAGGAATAACAAAATAACAAATAAAAAATTACCTTTTCCATAGCCGTTATTATTCTTTGCCCTATTTCAGCTTCGTCGCTGATTTCATCATCAACATAATTCAACAAGTAACTCTTCAAAAAAGGTGAGCTTTTTAGCTGTATATTTAAAGCTTGCTTTTCGCTGGGTGGTAAATATTTGTCGCCGTCGGTATCAGGGTGTTCGCAAACTGGCGGGTGCCATGGCAAGTCGTGTTGGGTACCTTTGGGTAGGTCTATGAACTCCCCTAAAATTTTCTGAATCCTAAAAATTGCAACCAAGTTACTTTTACTGCTGGATTTTCGTACGAAATCATTTATTTATTTGGTGAAAATCTGGTTTGATATACACATATATATAACTTTTAAAAATATTGCAGCGAGTACCCCTCTGGATCTCGGAATGATGACTCATCGCTGGAATGTTCGGGAAGGCGCTTGCGTAACGTAGGCACTGAATATATAAGGAACAGCGCAGCATGGAGCAGTTTGTGATTTTTTTCACGCTTTATATAAGTGCACGCACATCATAGTAATTTCAAGTTAAACTAACGCGTGATAGCCCCACGAACAATGTATTTAAAACTTAGTTATCTAGATTTACTTCATGAAATGGGTAAGAAAAACTAATATCCTAAATTAATGGTTTTATTATAAATACTTTTCTTGTAAAATAAATACCCGCAAACGGCAACACTATCTGTAAACAAAACGCGATTTTCGACCTTATGAACCAATTGGTACATTTGTTTTTAGCTTTTTACCTATTACAAGTGTACTTCTACCACAGTTCTACACAATAAAAAGTAAAAAATAAATCAATCATACTATAAATGGTAAATTGAAATCCAAACTCAAACCGCGTCAACCCACTACAGCGTTGAAGGTCGACCAAACAAACAGACGCGAATTATTTATAGCCTGCAAAGTTCCTACGTACCAGCAAAGACCGTAAACTATTTACCTACTAATATATCAGGCGAGTTTGCGTCTTTTTGTTGCTGCTTGAGGCTTGCTCTAATTGGTGGTTTAATATCACCTGACTGAAGATGTCGTGGGTGGCAATTAGTGCTGCATTGTGTGTAGAACGGGTGTTTTTGTTTTGATTCAATTAAATTATTAATATTAATATATAAATCCAAAGTTTGGATTCCAAACACTGATGACATAAAGAATCACAACACGATTTTCATTTATCACGTGTGACATCCGTATGATATCAGTATGGCGCAAAAATTAAAATCCAAACACTGATGAAATTAAAACTGACAAAAAACGTGTAATATAAGTATTCAAATCCAAACACTGTTGATATAAAAATTCACGCGTGATATCCGTATGAATAATATTCGTAAAAATCACGACGTGGCGTTCGTACGAAAGTCACGAATGTTGTCCAAAACTCCAAAATATTGTTCAAAACATCAAAAAAATAGTCTCTAGGTCAATAGTAAACACTTACTGATATCATTCAATTTTCTTAGTTTCTTTAATAAACTTTCTTGACCCATTACTGGTAATATTCATAAGAATAAATTGAACCTACACCTCGCCAAAGTTTTTCAAAACAAAAAACTTTGGCGAGGTGTAGGTTCAATTTTTTCTTATGAATATTACCAGTAATGGGTCAAGAAAGTTTCTTAAACAAACTAAGAAAATTCAATGTTTACCTTAATGTTTAGCCCGGTTGAACTAATTCTAGATTCCTTTAGGCCGTATTAGTATCTGTGATACAATTGCTGTGTGCAGTCTCGGTTGCATAGTATGTAAGGTGTGGATCACCTGATGTTCTTACATCTCGCCTATGTTGGCTTACCAACCGAGCATATAAGCTCAGGGAGTCCTTTGTTTTGAGTGTGTTCCACTACACCAAGTTGCCCGACACTGATGTGAACCAATATAGGTCGAAACTGCTGTCTGTCGGTATTTAAAGTTGGTGGAACGCACTCAAAACAAAAAACTTTGGCGAGGTGTAGTTTCAATTTTTTTACTTACTGATATCCTTTATTTTCCGGAGGCAAATAGACAGGCAAATCCAAATCCTCTTTCTGGTGAACCGGCAGGTTCCACTGCAGACATTCGTCTTTGGTTGGCCAGCCTGTGGCGTCGTAGTATTGATTCGTGGCCGTGCTCATGGTGGTGGGGTACTTGTGGTGCAGCAGAGGGGGGGTTCTGCCGACCGACTTCTTCTCGTTGGCGGTTTTGTTCTTTTTCAAGGCTTTCGCGTACTTGATGTGGTCGTTGAGCTTCCTCTTTTCCATTTTGACGTAGTTGAAAAGACTTTCGACGTTGAGACTGTCCAAGTCCGGCCGGGAGTTATAAAAATCCTCGCAGGAAATGTAAGGCTTGTTGCTGGCGGAGGTTTTCTGGAAGCAGCGTTGCATCTTTTTGCCGTTAGAGGGCGTTTCGACGGCGTCGTTGTGGAAACCTTCGATTTGCACTTCGAAGGAGGAATGTTCCCACATCAACCTTTCCTGCAAACGCAACCACTGCTGCTGCTGGCTGTGGTAGGTGTGCAAGTCGGCCAGTATACCCTGCAGAGATCTACAAAAAGGCTTTAACAACGATTATCAACAACACAGCAAACGGAAAAATATATAACTGTATAGGATGACTCCGCGTTTGAATATTAAAACTTAAAGTTTTATCACAACTGTATTGAATCGTGCTTTGTTTTTATATTTTTCGGCTCTATACCTATGCACGACTATATTTAAAGTCAAACTCAATGGTGTCTTACAAGATACATTGTTTTGATTTTCTATATTCAACAGAGAGGTAGAAACTCGACCCTGTCGAATGGTGCAGTCATTTATGTCTCTTGAAATTATTTAAAAAGGGTTCAGTCCAATGGTGCAGCAACTTCGGATTACTATTCTCTTCAGAGACATAGAAACTCAAGCTTTTCGAATTTTACTGGCAATGATTTTCGTTAATGTCCCCGAGAATTATACAAAAACAGCGCAATGCAATATCGCAACGGTTTCGACTTCTCTTTACTCTACCAAGTTATAGAAACTGGAGTCTCTCTAATACTGTTCTAGTCAATATTTCTGAGAGTATAAAAAGAGGGTGTAATATTGCAAGAAGTTTTGATCTTTTGATGGATGCAAGTAGTTTGAATTTTCTCATTTCTGCATATGATTTTGTTGAAAATAGTTCCTTTCTTTGGTTCCTTTGTCTGATTTTTATTTACCGTAACAAGTCAGTATGTAAAGCACAGAGGATATGATGTTAAGTATATTTATGTATTATATAAAGTACCTATATTTGTATTAAAAATTTCAGAGGTTATGTTGAAAAAATGATCGATATGCTAAGTATTAAACTTTAATAATTTAGTAATGAGGTCTGTTGGTAGACCCTGCACTTTCTCCACTGGTATATGTTAGTACAGCAATATTTAAATCTGGTTGATGAAAAAGTACCTACACACCAGTGCAGGTTATTGTAGCATCTACGAACAAATGAATTAATGGCCCATTGGCAAATATTCAACACAACTTAATTAATTAATAAAATGAAAAAAATCACAATCATGTCGTATATAGTTTTTTTAAGCATAAAATAATTTTTATATTAATACTAGTTCAAAAGTGAAATTACGACCTCTATACTGTGGAGAGTATTGAAACGCTCGACTGACGAATACAAATCTATACCGTGGGGAGATTTAGAAAACCATATTCAAACGTGGCGTCATCCTATACACCTCTATAATTTTCCGTTTGCTGTGAATCTTACGAACTCACTCTTGAAGCTGTATCAACCCGGTCTCCAGCTTCCAATAACACAAAATGGCGTGCCTATTGGCGATAACGTCCTTTTGATCGGGTTTTAAATTTAAATATTGGTCATAATAGTGCACGGATTTGTTATAATCGCCCAGAGATGCGTAAACATTACCCAGAGCTAGATGGTGTATAGCTTCTTTGGGTGCATGATCAACACAGCTGTGCAAAAACATGGCCGCCTCTTTCGAGTGACGCGATTGGTGGAGAATACCCGCCAGGTTATGCACCGGAATGTCCCTAAATTCGCTAAAATAAAAGAGTTTTGAGTTTATTTGGGCATATTTTGTTTCAACTATTTTTTTGAGGCCTTAAATTGCGTATTAAATTTTTAGTTCTAGTTTCTAGCACTGGTATTTTAAAAACTACGAGTCCTGGAAAGCTAGGGTTGCCTGGATTTTTTATTTTTATGTTGTGTTAGTAGAACCTGTACTAACATTATTAAATTTAGTAGGGTTTTAAGTTTATTAAATATTTTTAAAATAAATAATAAATTTTTTCTTAAAATAAATGAAAATCTATAAATTCTCTCGGAAACGTGACGTCACAATGTTATAATATAAATCGTATATATAAGTAAAATTTTCTTTTGTGTCCATTTTTCAAAAATTTTCTACGGGTGAAAAAAAAAATAAGCAAAAAAAAATACGGGTCTCATCGATTTCGGTAGATAAACTGTAAAAAAAAATGTTAAAAAATAACGACCTACCCCTTTTTGCCCGGTCGATTTGAGATGGAATATTGAACATAACCTAAAAACCATGCTAGAAACAGAGGTGGGATTTATTATTAATTTAAGACAAATCTGTTATAAAATCGTGACGTCACGATGCAAATATGCAATAAAAATATTGCATTTCCCAACCCCATTGTTCTGTCCTGCATTTTTAAACCAGGTAACCCTATACGCTAAAGAAGTATCGGGTTTTCGCAACGCGCGCGCCATCTGGTGGACTTCGAATGCATTGCCTGAATTTAAGAATGTCAACAATACAGATTATACATCATTTTTAAATAAATAGGTAGTTTTTTTACCAAAGGGAGGAAGGCAGAAGTCTTACTCGACAAATTTTGTTGCACATCTAAATCGCGCACGTTATTTGTGTTTTACGTTGCAAGGAAAAAATTAAAAAACTTTTTTAATACTCGATTTCGATTGATTATTCCTTACATCATTGTTTAAGAAACTCAACGCTTAAATGCTTGTATAGGTAGTTACATTAGTGTGTGTATTTTATCAAAGGGATTATGGTGAATTATTGTGTTTTTAATTGTAAATAAAATTCATGAACTAACTCGTTGCATTTTCATGTTTTGCCAAAGGATCCAAATCGGTAAGTACATTTGTTGGTGCAGAATTAACTAATGATAACTTTAAAAAACTCAACCCAGGATTTCATCTCGAAATACAACCAACAACACAACAAATCGAGCCACGGTTTTTTTCCGATATTTGTTAATATTTTCCGGCTTTATTCTCAAAAACACTGGTTTGTAACATAAGCGTTTGACAGCTGATTATTAAAAGTTGTACTTTTGTTACGACGATAACAGCCGAGTGGTGGCGCTACTAGCGATACTTCTTTAGCGTATAGATTGTTCAAATGTTAAGACATTATAATGTTTGACAATCTAAAAATCAAAAAAAAAATTCCTACATTGGTACAAAATGTATGGCCCTTTGCACACAAGCCACCGCTTTGGGGCCGTCTCCCTTGATTCTCCAATAAATGGCCGCCATATTGTAGTGCAGCCACGACGAGCTGTTCTTTTTTAAACCCTGATTGATCTCGTGCCCGAACAGCTTAATATTCTCGATGGGCATGAAATGTCTCAGGGACTCGTCGGGGGCGACCATGATGCCGTTGTCGGCACTCAGGGGCGGAACTTCGTGGTAGGGCCAGGGGCCGGTGTACAGTCTCGTGTGAGCGCTGCAATCAGGCGGGTGGTGGTTTTTAATGATGGCGTCGTATTTCGTGTTGAAGGGGATTTTGATGTTTCTCTCTGAACCGTTGGTGGCTATGTTCGAAAATAGGTCGATGTCTAGAAACAGTTTGCCTGCAGCTAGGCAATCAGGATCGCTGGAAGTAAATTTGTTGCCTAAATTTGATGTTCTTTCCAAAGACGACCATTTATCTTCTATTATTAATTTGCTGACTATTAGATCATTGTACAGTGAGCTTATTTCTTCGTGACGTTTTTCCTGCTCCATTAAAGCTAGTAAGTCGTATGGTCTGCGCATGTCATAAGGCGATTCCATCTGAAAAATGCGTTAAATTGCTACAACTTAAGAATAAACAGGGTGTTTTACATTCGTGGTTCTGGGGAAAGAAAAAAGTGAATACTTTTCGAGTTATTCTTTGTTTTCCTTAAAATTTGACAAATGAGCGTCAATCATAAATAGCCCGGAATTGTTGGAATCTTAAAACATTGTTTAAAAGAGTCCATGTTGATTCTTTCACATTTTTTAACAAATTACCTAAAAATAAAACCCAGGGCAAATTACCCAAACAGCATTTTTAGTTTGAATAACTACAATTTTACTACTAAGTCAACTTTAAAGTATTTTTACGGTTAACCAAAACGGTTTTATAACGGTATAGATACGAAAAATTACCAAATTTGGGGAATGGTTTATTTTGTTATTTTACCTACATAATAACCTTTTTGATCTACTAAGAGAATAACAATATAAATACCACAAATTTACGTAAAAATAACGCTATAATTCTTACTGATTGCTCTCTTTTTCTAAAATATTGACATTCGTAATTTCCTTATTCTTTTAATTTATATTTTACAAAGTGGTACTTACAAAGTAATAAAGGCCACCCTAGAGTAAAATTAAAAAATATAACTTAAATTGTCAAAACTAACGATATTTTGCATTAAAACTCAAACGCACATTATTTTATTGATAAAAATAGGCACGATACATCTTAAAAATTATATGCCCTCTAAATATTTTAAGGTTTTAAGAAAAATTATTGCTTGGGTAAAAATTCAACAAAACCTAAAACCTATAAAATCTTTTAAAAATCATTCAGTTTTAATCATTTTTTAATAACTAAAACTTTCTTTATTAAATTTTAGAAAAATATTACATAAATGTTTAGATAAGTAATGGATGCCATCTTAAAAAACTCATTAAGGCGACCTGAAAAAAATTTTTTTTTCGTAAAAATTACGTTACTCATAATACTTTTAAGTGTTGAAACATCAAAATATTTTAGAAAAAAACACTTTAACGCTTTTAAAATTTCAAATCGATATCTTTTCCGTTCCTCAGAAATTTTTAATCGACCACGAATGTGAAACACCCTGTATGTATAGAGACATGATAAGGGACCTAGGTAGCACACTGACGGCTGCTGACGTTTATATGACATTGAAATGGCGTTGAAATAACGTCATATAAACCTCAGAAGACGTCATATAAACGTCAGTGTGCTACCTGGGGAGGTTCCTTCCTAATATTTGACATTGACTTTCTTAATTTTGAATAAGAATATAATTTTTTTGAATAAAATTAAATTTGACGGTATTAGCGGCTAATGATTAGCCAACTGGCATTTCATCTTGATATCTTTACTTTTTTAATTTTGAACAAGGATCTTACATATTTGTTTTTACATAAAAAAACATTAAATTTTTTTCAACAAAAAAATCTTAAAAACCACATAGTACCTAGAGTCAATGGCTGGATTTTGGATAGGTATGATATTTCTGATCGCGATATAACAAAATTCCTGGTGGTCTAAAGGGCTTTCTACCTTTTTAAAAAAAGTAGGGCAAGAGTGTTAAAACAAAAAATGTAGAGGTTTAAAATTTCAATATATTTGTTTTCAAGCAAAACTTTCTGTATTTAGATCTTCACTTTTATATTTTTTATTGATGTTTTTAAAATCTGTAACTTTTATATTTTTATCATAAAAAGCATTTTACAATTTCTGGAACCATCGTCACCACCCAAGTAACACGACGTGACGGCATTCTACTAGATTTCACGAAATCGTCACGCTCGTTCTTTATAAAGTACATTTTTATATAAATACGTTATCAAAATGAAGGTGACGCCTGCGTCACTTCTAAATTTTTGACGGAACCGTGAAGATTTTTCGTTATAAAGTAACTTTTTAAATAGATACTTCATAGAAAATTTGTGACGTTTGCAGTGCACTTTATTCGTGACGTTTTCGTGTTTTTAGGAACGAGATCTCTCGAGAGAGGGCGTTTTATAACCTTCTTTATCTCTGTCAGATTCTCTGGTCAGCCATTTTCATTGTCGTTGTTTTGTAGAGAGGCTGCCCCACACACGTGCTGCGTTTTTGTTGTTATCATTTGTTCTTATTCAATGGTTTATAGATAAGGTGAGTTTAATTTAAATTGTTTTAATTACTTTGGCTTGCAATTTTGCTAAAATTCCTATTAGTTCAGTAATTGTATTCTTTTCGGTATATATTTGTTGCAATATATTGATGACGTTGTTTTCAATAATTTATATACCGTACCTTCATTTGCAAGCTATACATAGGGAAAACACATTGTAGGTGGAACAGACAAGTCGAAGTCGCGCCGGTCAGCGCGAAACGAAAATGTTCCCAGAAATTATTTTGACGAGTGGATGAGTAGACTAACATGCGACGTAACAGGTGACTTTGTTTACTGGTTTAGTTTTTGTGTCTGTGGTGATTATTCTATACATAGAATATTTTTGTATACCCACAAAAATGGGTCTTTGAAATTTAGTACATCTACGTATGTAATTAAATGTACATTTTTTATTAATAAATAATTAATATTTAATTAATAAATGTGTCTTATTTAGCAAAGGAAATTAATTTATGTAATTTGGTTATTATTATTTACTGTAAATGCATACTTATATTAGATTTTATCGGTTATTGACCATGGTGGGTCAATAATGAAAGCTAAATTTCTGTAAAAAAAACTTTAAAGAAATTTAGCTTTCATTATTGAGCGACCATGGACAGGAAGTGATTAAATTTAATAAGTATGCATTGACAGTAAATAATAATCGTCACTAATTCGTCACAAAACTGCAAAGCAAATTCTACCACGGATTTAGTGTCAAATTCGTCACATTATTGTGATAAAAAACATAAAGAAATTGTCACGACTTGTAGGCACGCCTTCGTGAAGATTTCGGGGGTTAAAATTAGTGCGGTTTGGCCACTGTATCAGTCACAGAATCTATAAATTTTCGGGATCACGTTGAGCTCACGACAAGTAGAAATCGTAACAAATTTTGCAACGATTTCTTCACGAGGTGTTACTTGGGCACATTTCTAGCGATCGACGCTACTCGGAAGCGGTTGACCAAATGATATTTAAACTTTTTATAATTTTTACAGATATTTCTGAGATCAATAACTTTTTTATTTAGCATTTTTTGTTTTAATCAATTTTTGAGGGTCTAAATATACAAAAACTAAGTTTTTCCTAATAGCAAATTTCAAGCTCTAAATTTTTTGTTTTAAAAATACGAAACAAAATAAAACGATTTTTTTTAAAAGCCCCGAAAATTTTCGATCATCGTACATATCAATAATTTAGGAACACCAAGAAAAACAACCTATTATTTTTGGTAAAGATTTACTTACTTAAGGCGGGAATTTAAAATAAAAAATAACGATAATTTGGTAAAAATTGCCGACAAAATCTGGTATTTTATCTCACAACTGCATGTACAAAGGATGTGGTTTATGATTAAATATTTTAATTTGAATAACAGCACCACAGAGTTCTCTAAGTGGAAAATCAATATTCCATGAAAATTTTCTTTGTTTAACTTGTTGCTTGAAAATATATTGAAAAACCTTATTTTATGCATCATCAATATACTTATTTAACTGTGAATTTACTTAACATAGGTTGTTTTTGATGTTTTAACTTAAAAATATGTTTTTTAAATAAAAATAATAACAATTTCAGTTTTGCCAATTATAATTAATTAACCGACATAATAATTATGCATAAATAACACCCTAAAGCCCGAAATTACAAAAAATTAAACGCCACATAGGTACCTAGGTAGTTTAATTCATATAATTCATCTCAAATTAAAAAATATAACCTAATTTTGACACGTCTAAAATATCCGGACTTACGTATGCCTGTATTCTTCCTGTTTCGGTGACGACCCAATGCGTGACAGCCCCATTTTGCGAAAACAATTTAAGAATAATTAACACGACCAGCAGCAATTTTATTAACATTTTTCTGTTTATCAACAATACGCATGATCATTTATTATCTGGAATCTGTCGACCGGGCCGACGTTGCCAGAATAATGTGAAAGTTTTTTCCCTTTTTAATGATAAAACAATGATATTATGTTTTATAAATATTGTATAATTAATTTAAAATTGTATTTTTTATTATAAATGTAAAACAAAGTGAATTAAAAGGGTTATAAATGTTTTGTTGAAAATGTAGTAGTTGTAATGTACCGTTTTCCTGTTAGGTTGGCAACGAAAGCTTGGTTTTCCCGATGACAGGTGACAGAAAATGTAAAAATTAAGACATGGCGGGTTTTCGGGCAACAGACAAGGCTTTATTCCCGATAAAAAACATAAAAACGGTGGTGCAGCTGTTCAGAAATCAGCTGGAGCACTCGCAGGAGCCGGATCTATCTTTGTTATCGATTGTCGCAGGCGTAATCGAAAATTCCTTGACAAGCCGGTCGAATTTACAAATTTGCGAGCCAGTGGAACACAATTGCCTCCCGAATTTGGATCTGGAAACGATTACTTTGATGTACAGTAAGTTTCAGACGATAATAAAGAATGCAGTGGAGGTTAACAAACAAAGGAAATACGCCACAAGAGAGTTGGTTAAGAAAGTCTCCGATGTTATATGGAACAGTTTGACTAGGAGTTATTACAAGGACAGGGCTCATTTGCAGAGCTTGTACAGCTATTTGAGCGGCAGTAAGTTGGATTGTTTTGGCGTTGCGTTTGCAGTGGTTGCAGGCTGTCAAGTTTTGGGTTATAATGATGTACACTTGGCGCTATCCGAGGATCATGCCTGGGTTGTGTTTGGTGAGAACGGAAGTGAGACGGCGGAAGTAACATGGCACGGAAAAGGTAATGTAAAAAATATCTGAAACAAACCGTAACCACTTTTAATACAAATGTGGTTTTTAAATGACTAGACATAGTTTTCTTTAGTTGAAAAACTTAAAAAAATTACATCTAAACATCAAACAAATGTTACAAATTTATAAATGTCACTTGAACTGTCAAAAACGTTAAAAAAAATCCAGTTTAAAATTTGTTTGGTTTATTGACCCTAAAACTTTTATTTTTTATTTACTTTTGTCACACACACAAAGTATTTTTAAAGCAAATATAAGTTATAAAGTTTAAAAGGATTTGCCTAAACAAAAAAGCTTTTAAGAAGCATTTAAGTTTACAAAACTATGCTTATATTCTACATTTTATCTACTCCTTCATATAGGTACCTACTAGTGTAATAAGTAATATATTATATATATAAATATACTAGTGTAATAAGTAACTTAATGCTCTTGTGCATGGTTAACAGATTTATTTTGTCAGTTTGCCAAAATTCATAACTTTAAAATTTAATCATCATAAATGTGTAAATAATGACTTATTATCAAATTTTATTTAATTTTAATTTTGAAACAAAAAAAAAATTTTTATAGGTACTTTTATATAAATATTAAAATTTTATTTTAATAATTAAAAACTAATGACCACAAAAATATATTTTTCTACTCCCACCTTTAAAACGCCCTTTATCGTACATGTTTCCATGACACTAAGTGATCTTTTAAATACACATTGACAAGTTGTGGCTTTACGGCGCTTTAGTCACGGGCTGAAGTTAGCAACAGGTTTTTAGTCACAGGCTGAAGTTAGTTGACAGTTGTCAAATGTCATACAATCGTTAAAATAAAGTGCCTTTCTTGTAAAATAATACTAAATGTGAAAATTATTTTATTATCTCAATACAAAAATATGAAATAGTTTCTTAACGCCAATATTTGAAAAGTTTATATGAACATTGTACTGACCTTTTAATTTCGCCGGCAGTAAACTATAACTTAAATTCGGGCACGGACTCCACTGTAAAGTGCTCATAAAGCATTTTCTTTACTTTCACTGTGAAAAACTGTCAATTTTCAAGAAATACATTTCGATTTATAACCTTTATAATCTGTGTTTATAAAATATAAAAATTTGACATTTGACGGTGACACACAGATTCCCCTATTGCTTCATAGATGGCGCTCTATACAAATTTTTGATTTAAATCATTTTAAGATAATAAAGTAATTGTCGTAGAAAAAGTATAGTATGCACCTTGTTTATAAACTTTTCTTATTAATTTAAGCACTCGCTCGCAAGCTCAAACCTTAATGCTTTCGAAATTAATACATTATTTGCAACTCTGCTGACAACTAACTTATAGCTAACTTCAACCCGTGACTAAACGCAAAAAGTCACACTTGTCAAAGTGTATTTTAAAGATCACGACACGAAAGATTTTGTTATCTCTGTTACAGGAAATGAAGATAAAAGGGGTCAGGAAATAGGCAAAGGCGTGTCCTCGCGATCGTGGCTGTACGTCAACAACAAACCCGTAGTTTGCACCAGACACATGGAGGTGGCAGCACTGGTGTCGGCCATAAACCCCTCCCTCAACTCCAACCAGGACGCCTACGAGGTGTCCGAGCTGCAACAAGAGTTGCTATGGCTGCTGTACGACCTGGGGCACCTGAAGAAGTACCCGATGGCGATCGGCAATCTGGGGGACTTGGAGGAGATATCCTCGAGGGAGGGGAGAGTGGAATGCCGGGTGTTGTTCGAGGAGGCCATAAAGTCGTCGAGAAGTTACTACAACAACCAGCACGTGTACCCCTACACGTATCAGGGGGGCTACTTTTACCGCAACAAAATGTACAAAGAGGCGTTCGAGAGTTGGGCGAACGCCAGCGACGTCATTCGGCTCTACAACTACTCCAGGGACGACGAGGAGATATACAAGGTAGAGGTGACGATAATATCGATATTTTATCGATACTATCGATTATTTGCTTTTTTAAATACTATCGAAACTATCGATATCGACTTCGATAATATCGATACTGATTACTGACAGCCAATGTTGCCGGGTCTACTAATTTTTCAGTCAATCTACTAATTTTAATCAAATGACAGTCTAAAATTTAGTAAAAATCAGTAGAAACGCCTGCAATATTAATAACATAATATATGCTTAGTTAAAAGTCTAAATATTATTTACAATTTTAACCAAGCAAATTTATCAGCCTACTGATTTCTACTGGCTTTTTCAACCATTCGAATGCAAAAATTGATAGGAAATTTTATTAGGAATGTTTTAATGCATACATCTCAGTTTTTATCAAAAGGGATTTTGATCCCAGAGGATTAATCCAATTCAAGTATACTATTTAAGTACATAGTTATTTATTGAAGTTAATAATTTGATTTCGGTTTTTTTTTTATTTGATTATGTTGTTTGTAAGGTTTATGCAGCATAAATTATGCGGCTTTTTTAAATAAAATAAAATAAATATTTCGTTTTTTTTAAACTATCGATAATTTATCGATAGTTTTGATAATTACGACCATGATTATCGAAACTAACGATATTTTTTTTTCATCGCTATCGTCACCTCTAATACAAGGAGTTTCTGGAGATCGCGAACGAGTTGATACCGCACATAATGAAGATCGAGAGCTCGGGTTTCAGCGCCAACACGATCCTGAAGAAGCCGGAGTGTTTCGCGCACCTGCTGAGGTTCTACGACGGCATCTGTCAGTGGGAGGAGGGCAGCGCCACGCCCGTGCTGCACATCGGCTGGGCGAAACCGCTCGTCAACACGATATCGAAGTTCGACGCAGACGTCAGAGCTCAGGTCAACATTCTTTGCGACACGGTGCAGGACGGTGCGAAGAAGAACGCCGGTATCTGCAACAACAACAACAACAACAACTACGAAAAAGAAAACGGCGCTCAGACGGAAACCAAAGACGAAAAGGACACGAATTTTCCGACCATCGAAGCTCTGACGGCCGCTTGCTCGGAAAAATTACTCAACCCCGAGTTTTTGTTGCAAGGCGATGGGTCACCGTTCGTTGGTAAGTTAAAACGTAAAAAATATGACGTACTGTCATTTTATTGCGTAGCTCCCATCAAAAATTACGTTAAGCTGTCAAAAATGTCGCAAATGTCAACACAACCTACAAATGTTTTCAAGGTTTTAAAAACTGACATTACATTGTCAAAACCTTGGAGTGGGGAAGAAAAGGGAGGCGCAATCGGTTCTTTGGAAATGTGCGAAACTTTGAACAAATAAAGACGTCAAATTAAAAAATTCAAGCACATTTGTAGGTATGTTGACGGGATTCGGATTCTAAACTCAAAACCACATATGCTGTTTTATCGATCGGCGCCGTTTTTTAATTCCTTTTCACGCAAAAAATACACAAAACAAACTTGTTAACACTTCCAATCGACGCCTGTGTGGAATAGACTATCCACTATCTTTCCTTGTCCAAGGTCGCCAAAAATAAAAAATATCAAAACCATAAATTCTTGTAATTTTTCAAAAGAGTTAATTTCACACAAAACTCAAATTTTTTTAGGTTGACACCATTATCAAAGCTGTCAAAAATTACAATTCTACTGTTCTTGACAAATATAGGCATTTTTAATGACTTTTTTTAAATTATCTAAAAATAACAATAACACTGCCAAAACCGTTAAAAACTGACATTAAAACTGTCAAACACAAATGTTGCCACCTAAGAGTAGGGAAGAAAAGGGGGAGTAATCAGCCCTTTGGAAATGTGAGAAATTTTAAACAAATAAACCGACATTCCAACTGTCAAACACAAATGTCGCCACCTAAGAGTAGGGAAGAAAGGGGGGCGTAATCAGCCATTTTGAAATGTGCGAAATTTTAAACAAATAATGGCATCAAATTAAAAAAAAACCAAGCACATTTGTAGGTTATGTTGAAGGGGAAACGTCAAAACTTTGATTGTAAGGGTTAAAACATCAGATTAAAGGGTGCTGTTCTATCGATAGGCACCATTTTTTAATTCCTTTTCACGTAAAAATTCACAAAACAAACTTGCTACCACCTCGAAAAGACGCCTGTTTGAAATACGCTAAATTTTAAACAAATAATGGCGTCAAATCAAGCACATTTGTAGGTTATGTCGAAGGGGAACCGTCAAAACTTGGATTGTCAGGGTTAAAACAACAGATAAAAGGGTGCTGTTTTATCGATCGGCGCCATTTTTTTAATTCCTTTTTACGCAAAAATACATATAACAAACTTGGTACCACCTCGAAAAGATGCCTGTGTGGAATAGACGCTAAATCCACTATCTTCCCTTGTCCAAGGTCGCCAAAAATAAAAAATACCTAAACCATAAATTCTTGTAATTTTTCTAAAGAGTTAATTTCAAACACAAAACTCAAATTTTTTAGGTTGACACCATTATCAAAGCTGTCAAAAATTACAATTCCACTTTTTTTCTTAAATACAGGCATTTCTAATGACATTTTTTTTCAATTCTTAAAAGTTTTCAAGGTTTTAAAATTAACAATAACACTGCCAAAACCGTTAAAAACTGACATTTAAACTGTCAAACACAAATGTCGCCACCTTAGAGTAGGGAATAAAGGGGAGCGTAATTAGCCCTGTGGAAATGTGCGAAATTTTAAACAAATAATGGCGGAAAATTTAAAAAATCAAGCACATTTGTAGTTTGTGTCGAAGGGGAAACGTCAAAACTGGGATTGTAAGGGTTAAAACAACAGATAAAAGGGTGCTGTTTTATCGATCGGCGCCATTTTTTAATTCCCTTTCACGTAAAAATACATAAAACAAACTTGGTACCACCTCGAAAAGACGCCTATGTGGAATACGTCCACTATTTTCCTTTTTTCAAGGTTGCCACTTAAAAAATATCAAAACTATTTTTTCAGTTTGGCACCATTATCTAAACTGTCACTTTTACTTTTCTTGACAAATTGAGCATTTTTGATGATTTTTTTTCAATTCAATGTTTTCAAGCTTTTAAAATACCAAAACCATAAATTCTTCTAATTCATCTGAAAAGGTAATTTTAAAAATTTTTGAAGTTGGTACAATTTTACAAATGTTTTCAAGCTTTTAAAAACAAACTTAAAACAAATAAAATGTCCAAATTAAATGCAAAATTTATCAAAAAATACATTTAAAGCATCATTTTCGAAAGAAGTGAAGTTAAAACTGTTCAAAAAGAAAACGAAACCTCACTTTTAGGGGGCGACGAACCAAAAGACAAAGCAGGCGCCGAAGTTTCGACCAACGGCAAGCCGGGAACGTCGAAGGTCGTCGTGGCCGAAGTGAAGCCGGAAACGCCCGAAGAAGAAACCGTGCCAGTATCCATACATCCCACCGTCATTTTGCACAGCCAAAAGATGAAGGAACTGAAAGATTTACTGTTGGCGGAAAAGTTAAACACGCATGCCATTTCCTTGCATTTGACTGCGCAATCTCAGGTAAGACGATTTTTCTAGGTTATGTTCAGATAACGCGAAATGTCGGGATTTTTTTTTTATACAAATATAGTTTTTCAAATTTTTGATGTATATTCAATTGATTATTTCCCTGATTATAATATGAACCAATCAAAAGCCTTGAATTTTCGAATAAATTTCGTTTAAATAAGCGATTAAATCACTAGAACTATTTAACAGTGATTAAATTTTAGCCTCCATATTGAATTTTTGTTTACGATTTTATGGTGTTATTTACAAGTTTTAACAAACATTTTTTAAAAAACAATAAAAAATAAGTTATCTAGTTTACGAAATATCAATTATTACTTATTACATATTAAACTAATGGAATTTTCTAATATGTGAATATTTATCGGATCTTTTTCAGTGAGCTAATGCACTATACCGGATCATTTTTGTTGTTTCAGGTACAGATAGGTAAGAAAACTAGAGGTGATAGTAGTGATAGCGTGCGCCCGAAAAGGACGCGACGAGATTAAAGGTAAGCTAAGTTTTTGACTGTATACAACGGTATAAATTGGGTAAATTTGAGTAGAGGGCGCTTTGTAAGCCGTCATTTTTAATTTTTTACGACAAACCTAGAGAAAATGGCGATTTAACAAAGCTTTACATAAACTATTATAATAATCAATGTATTTATAATGAAAAACTTATGTATTTAAGTAATAATCATTTTTAAGTAGTAGTTGAGAGATGGTAAAGTAAAAATCTAAGTGTGTTTTTAGTACAAGTTACACCTCAGTACAATCATCTGCTGTATGCTTGTCTATTTAATAATTTTCACCAATTTATACACAACAACACAATTTTTGGGGTATGTACTTAATATTTTTAGTTATTATTTTTATATATAGATGCAATATTTTGTTTTTGTGTATGTTGAGTACGAAAACGTTGTGTATGGTACGATGTTTGCAGCAGCAATTGTTCAAGGTCATTTTGTCAAGCTTTGACAGTTATGACCTTGATATATTGTGTTTGTACACGAAAAGTATTTGTTTTTAAACCTTGCCATTTTAATTAACAATACAACAGTATTATACGTTTTATTTCTTTTATTTTTTAATTAAAGAACTGATTTATTTTATTTTTACTAACTATTTATGTTTATAATGAATCTCTGAAGCTTTTTGATGCTTTTAAGCACGTTATTATTAATATTATTATTTTATTAACTATTGCACCTATGCTTGTTCAAAACGCCTAAAAATAATGCACTTTTGTTTTTAGTAACGCGTCTTAGGTTCGTGTTTTATTGGAATATGACAAACTATTTAATTTAAATGTTAAAAACTAAATCGGGAATCTCAAATTATTTTTGTTTGCCAAATTCCCAACAAAAAACGAACTATATTTCTGTTTCACTGTTTTAGTCTTTTAGATTAGTTGTTGTATACACTATACATTCCTTGTGATCACATCACAATTATTAGTATTTTAATTGTTAAGCAATGCATAGATATATGCATTTAAATGTTTTTAAGTACTAAAAAATGCGGTTTTTTGCCATAACAGTAAAAAACGTAATTTTGAAGTCAAACTTGTGCTATTTATTATGTATTTTATTGAATGTTAATGTTAAGGTTACAAACAGGATTTTCTCCAGTGATTTTAGTTTAGTTTTTAAAATAACTCAACCCCACTGTAATAGCAAAACAATAGAATAGAGTCTTATATTTTTTTATTGCATGTTCTTACGATCACAACTAATTTTAGACATCACAGAGGGCGTACCAACCCCCTGATTATCGCAATACCCGCTTAATTTTCCTAATATATCTTCAATGTAAAATAGCAACAATAGCAAAATAGTGGTGAAATTAAATTGTTATGCTACTTGCACCAGTGACAATAATATTGCATGTAATCTGGGTGTAATTTTTGTTTCTGTGATTTTATACAATGTGGAGGAGTAATCAAAATATAGTACGTTCACAATTACAAAATTATCGGTATTTACTTTGCGTGTCGATTTTTTTAAATTATGGATGTGTAATTTGGACATTATGTTGATAATAACTTTTATAAACATCATGCCAAATTTGATACATATTTGACAAGTCGATTTTGAGGTATACGCATTTTTGCGAATATCAAGGCTTTTTTGTTTTGTGAATGTGCTATAGCAGATACATTGCAATATTATCCTAATTTTAAATATTTAAGGTCACAAATTATTTAATTTTGCCTTAATAATAGTAAATTGCTTTGTATGAAGTGTGAGATGGTACAATAAAAAAGGCTAGGAATGGTTTTGGACGTTTGCCAAATTTATTTACTTAAACGATATTTATTAGTGATTGAATTGAAAAAACAATAATTTAGTTGAAAAATAACATTCCGCATTTTTTGGTTCAAGAGCTCACCTCTTCTGTTGGTACCTTGACAGCAAGGTAGTCTGATGATTTAATTATTGTTTTTTCATTGTGATTAACGGTTGAACAAATTAATTTTAAGTTTTATCTCGATTTTATGAATCTTCAGGTGTAGTTTTTAAGTATTTTTGTTAGTACATAAACAATTATGTACCACAATAAAAATTAATTAAATTAAATTATTGTAGTCTGTGATGAAAAGGGTGACTAATGAGTAACATATTTTGTAGAGATAGAAATATTATTAATACATGTATTTTTCTAACCGAAGAAGTAAAATTTATTATCGTATATCTTCCAACTTAATTTGTTGATTAAAAAAATGTTGAATTTGAAATGGAGTTTAACCAAAGTGTTTGGATTAATATTGTCTAAGTATTGTTATATTTCCCCCATAGTTATTGTACAACAGGTTTAGATTTTTTTGTCATTTATGCCCACAAATATCAATAAAATCTTATGCATACAAACAAGTGCATTATTTACCTTATCTTTATTCAAAAAACTATTATATACAATTTAAATAACACAACCTTAACGCACTGGTATCCATGGTTGGAACATATCTCCAATCTTCTTCCTTTCATAGGCAGGGAAGTCCTCTGGGTGCAATGTAATGTAGTGACGATACACAGCATCTCTATCAGCCAAATATCGATTCCTAATCTCATCCATCTTCCAACCAATCCCGACCCCAGCAGCCCCGCCAATAATATGCCACTGAATACCTAAAAAAACACACAAAACATCCTGAAAATCCCTCGAAAACATTACATAATTGACGTTGTTGTGGTTATGTCACTCACCACTAAACATGGGACGTCTCGCAGCGTAGTTGCCTACCATTACGGCCACAAATCCTAAAACCCCCAAACTGGCAGGACCCCATGTTTTCGTTAAAAAGGGTTTGTCAACGGCCTGGGGCGCGTCTAGAAGCTCCAAAGGGCTTTGGGGTATTTTCGGTCCCTGCGCCATATTTCTGACAGTAGTTCGAATGACCTGTCACAATCCAAGATGACAACCTATAATTGTCACTATTTTATATGTACAAAAATGATAATATTTAATGTTTTTACTGAGAATATTGCTAAAACAGTTTTTTTTATTTGTAAAACATGATTTTTACTGCTTAAAAATCATTTATTGTCGATAATTATTGCAATATAATGTGTTCAAGATGGTAACATTCTTAACCAAAAACCCTAGAATAGAACTACCAGTGTAAAAATTAATAATTTAATTAATTTAAAACTTGATTAAAACATCTCATAACATAAATAAACATCGTCAACAAAACTTAATAAAATATCGATTAAATTATGCGTCATATTTCTTGTTCGTGGGGTTAATTTTTGTAACGCCATAAAGTTTATAGTAAACAATTACAGTTTTTTAAGAAAACATGCAATGGGACATGTAATAAAACTCATTAAAAACGGATTAGACCGCAGTTATGCCTTTTTGGATCAATAACTATGAGTAAACCTAGGAGTCTAGGAGTCTAAACAAGTTTTTGTGCAAATTTTTACGCGTTTGAATATTTAAATAAATTTTTTACTTTGACGAGTTGAAGCTGGATTTATAAGTGTTAATAGCTAATTGCGTTTTAAAGGCGTTGTATATGCATAATTATTTATATATGTTTACTATATTCTGCATTTAGATTAAATTGGAGGGGTATTTAAAGGTTATGATAAAAATGTTATTTTTACCTATATTGGTGGTTTTATGTATTACATTTGTTACAAATGGACAAACGGACTCAGAATTGGCTGAAAAACTATGTATCCTTTATTTAATAAGGTTAAAATTTTTTATATTTTGGCAAATAAATCCTTATCGTGAACTTAGATATCCGACTGTTAAAGCATCAACGGGCAGAGCAGTTGGATGCCATAAAAAGTTTTAGTAAGATTTCAAGCTACGAGAAACAGTATTCAATGATAACACTGATGGCTGAGAAGGTTTTTACGGCTATACAAGCAAGTCGGGCGCACATAGAATCATCACCATATATACCAGGTGTATCAGATTTTCCCTTGGACAATAATGTACGAATAGCTCTATCTAATATTCTGGAAAATACTGTGCTATTTTGTGAGATGATTCTGAGATTCCCCGATATCGCAACCTCTGTGATGAAAATAAACAACAACTGGGACGTTCTTTTACAATGGAGCATAGCATTTAGCAATCAAGTTAAATACTTACTGGACCCACCCACAGTTAAATTACTAACTCTGGTCAGCATGGAGCTAAACCATATAGAAAGAGATGTGAATTACGTTAATCCATACAGGAAAAAAACCTCCAAAATAGATTCTGTTAAAAACGCTAAAAAGACTAAAAAAAAGAAGACTATCAAAAAGGGGCCAAGACTGACGCATTTTGAGCTTTAAAAAACAAACTAGTCGAATGGATTTATCAGGGAATTATTTTATTTGTAAATAAAGTTAATAAAAATATTAAAAATGTTTTATTTTATTCATAAAATCATGTTTTATACAACAATCATTTAAATAATGCATGATTTCTGTAACTTAGTGTTAAACATTTAAACAATACACTGAGAAACAAGATATTTAACTTAAATGCAGTTTTCTGTAATTTTAGTATGATAGTTTGTCACGTAACAAAAAGATGGCGCGTTTTCTGACACTTTCGTGACAGCGTTTAAATTAAAAACTTTTATCTTGTCAATTATTCAATCTATGTAATTTCTTATCTAATAACTGATTTCGAAGTAAACGATAAATAAATATCATTTAATTACATAATTATTGATGTCTAGTCATGGTGTTTGTTAGTTGATGTGCGTGCGCGTAATAATTCAGTCGAGTAATAAAGCAACGAAAAAAAATCGATTTTATTCGCAATTTTATGCAAAACAGTGAAGATTTCAAGAGTTTATTAAATAATGAGCAATTCAGAGCTACGTAGGAGAAAGGTAAGTTAATCCAGTTATACAAAATGACGGCCAGTTTGTTTATGTAGCTTATAATATTATAATGCTTTTATCAGCAGAAATAGTCACTATTTCAACGTATTTATGTAGTTTTACTTTTAGGAAGACTCATGTTTGAATATCAAGTAGTAAGTCAGGTTTTTAGCGTGAAACCTAACCCCACTTTTAATTTGTCTTACTAATATAATCATTATATCATATTTTGTGGGTACTTATTTATGTAAATCGTTGTTTTAGCTTAAAAATAGCGCGAATGGCAAGTCAAACCCCACGAAAACCAAGAAAAAATCGACAGATGCCAAAATACACCAATCGTTACTATGTTTAATTTTAAGTGGAACAGTATTGACAATTTTTATAGGTATGCCTAAAATATTTCCGTCAAAATTACAAAATTATATTACACCCTATTTTAGTTTTATACACTGACCAAATACCATGGTATTTGGGCCATAAAGCCATTGACAACATAGCCAAGAAATTTGGCTACGATAAACCATCACATGTTGTGGTTATTGATGCTGGCAGTACTGGGTCGAGAGTGTTAGCTTTTACATTCCATGAATCCTACTTAGGTAACCATTTTAATTCTATATAATTTTGTTTACTCAAGTTGGTTTTTATTTTACTCAAGGTTGAATATAATTTAGATTATTTAAAAGTATTTATTGTTATCATTTTTTTAGGTGGAAAGTTGATTTTGGATAAAGAACTGTTTAAATACACCAAGCCAGGGCTTTCTTCATTTGCCAATGACCCCCAAAAGGTAAAAAGTTGTGTTATTTTTATTAATTAAAAAATATAAAATGTTTTAAAAAAAATCCAACAATGTTCTTATAATGTTATTATTATAGTAGGCAGAAATCTGTAGAGAATTCTACCCATTAATTTTTATGACAATACTTTTGAGAAATGACAAAAAAGAAATCTGTCCAAAAACCACAAAATTATTTTTTTTCAAGTTCACAGGTTAAACTCTAAACATTCAATTTGTGTAAATAAATCCAAAAGCACTTCCCTTAGTTAAGATATTTACAATTTGAGCACATAACCTAAAATTTGACAGTATTGCACTAATTAATGGTAACTTACCAGATTCTGTCAAAGTTGCCAGATTTTGTTTAAATTTACCTTCATTACAAAAATGACATAACCAAACGCCAAATTAACAATTTGCATTGTTGATTTTGTCATTTAAGCTAAATTTAAACAAAATCTGGCAACTTTTTTTTGACAGAATCTGAATAATGCTGGTTGTTACCAACCTAACATAAAACAATAAATTAAATTAGGCAACCAGATTAGCCTAAAGTTTATAGTCAATCAGTTGCGTACTTTTTGGCAGGATAAAGGTTATTTTAAATTATTTTTAGTCCATAGAATTTAGAGAAAAAAGTTTCTGATGCTTCTTTATATATAATATATCACATTAATTACATAACACCCTGTATTAAAAATAATAATCCAATTTTATAATTTATAATTATAATCTTCATAAAACAAGCTTCCAAATATAATAACCAAGATACAGGTTTCTATTTCATTAAGAACCTATAAAGAAAAAAAATACCTAAAAAAATGACAGAATGTTTTTGAAAAATCTTTGCTAGAATTTATAGTGCTTAAAAATGTTTTTTTCTAAATTTGATCAATTCTTTTTTTAAACAGTCTATTTTTAAATATATACCTAGTAGGGTGGAGTGAAAAAGGCCAAAAAATTTTTTTTTTGTTTCAGATTTCTAATAATTAAAAAAATTTGCTTGCCTCTGTTTTATTTTCTTAAAGTTTTTGCAATTTAAGATAAAAAATTGTCTTGGGGGTCCTCCAACCTTAGTATAACTTTTGCTATTAGTCATATTTACATGCAAAGAATGCTGCTATTTAAAAATTTAAAAAAATGTAATTTTCAACTTTTCTTATGACATTAATGGGTTTGAAAGACCAACTAAACATAAAGCGATTGAAACAAAAATTGGTATGGATATTATTTGACCCTAGAGGAATCTTTTTGTAACTATTACATCAAAGGAAAAAACAAATTTTTTTTCACTCCACCCTAATACCTAGTCGTTAATCAAAATGAAACACACTGTATATGTTCAACTAAAACAGCTATCATCCCTGAATACACTGAAAAAATGTTATTTTTCAAAAATGTTTTTATCTCCACGCGGTCTATAATTTAAACTTTATTGTTTTCAACATTCGATAAAGAAATAGCTTGTTATGGCCTAGGCCGATAAAAAATTTTATGAGGCAAGTAATTAGTTCGATTTTTTCTCGCTGTTTTGACAAATTAATCCTTTACTAAGAAATTAACGTACTTAACTGGTTTAATTTATTTATAACACAGTACAACACGATTTCCCTCCCATGAAAAATTTTAGCAGATTTTGAAAATAGAGGTAAAAAAAACGTACCCGTGTCTCACAGTTTCACGAGATCACGTCATAAAAAAATTTTAAGCAGTTATTCCTATTATTTATGCTTATACAGATTGTACATTTTTTACTCGGTTAAAAATATATTTTTTTGTAAATATTGTATGTTTTTACACAATTCAAAAAACAATTATAAAAAAAGTTTATATTTTGATTTTTTTTAAATAATTTTTTTTTATTTTTTTTTGAATGAAGCACATTTTTGTATTTATCTTATATTCAATACATGTTGGAATAAAATCTTGGTCGTTTAGTTTGACGATTATACAGCTCGTTCAGACTAAAACCGAATATATCTATATATATATATATATATATATATATATGGGGCGTGGCCTCGCCTCCCTCCAACACGCGACACAGTAGCTAAGCAAATAGACTGCATCGCTAATGAGATTTTTTGCATTATTATCTTTTAATTTTTTAAGTCCTTACCTGCTCGACCTTTCGTCATGTCGTTTATCACACAAGCAACTGTGACGCGCCTTGGAGGGAGGCGAGGCCACGCCCCATATATATATATATAGATATATTCGGTTTTATTCTGAACAGGCTGTATATTGCTTCAGAATCTCGAACAATTGACCAGCAATATTCACCCAGCAAATGCCTGACGTCTTTTCCCTTGAAGCGTTTTTCAATTGTTAAAATGTCTTGGTGAAAACGTTCGCCATGTTCGTCACTAAAATCGCCAAAATTTGGTGGAAAATAGTCCAAATGAGCATGGAGAAAATGTATTTTCAGTGATATGTACTTTCATGTCCTGTGCTATAAAATGTACTTTATAACCCGAACTACAGGGAATAAATTCAGATTCCATCTCGGAAAAAATGGTTGTACTGGGTGTTAAAGGTCTTTTACTTTTATCCTCACATATGTTTTCTGAAGGAGCAGTTGGATAATCTTCAGATCGCACTCTTGCGAGAATGACGGATTCTACATCGGCGTAATCAATTTTCTCTCTAGAATTGTACCGAAATCCAAAACTTTTTAATTTTGACATGCAGAAATAACACTGGTCAGATGGTCGAAGCCAAATTGTTGGTGCAACATATTTCATACTGTGTGTTTTATCTTGCAATCCATGCAAACAACGGTAACAATAATCGCATAAAACCTCTGGTACATACCATAAGTTTGGTATATACGTCACCAAAAAATAGTCTTCAAAAGCTGTTAATACACTTTTTGTAATATTTCGCATATGGCTTGGAGACCTGTGCAAGCCACATACATAACAAAAATTATTTCGATTCGGACACTGCATTTTTACTTTGATTTCAAATGTATGGTTAACTCAACAATCAAAATTAATATGAAAAATTTATCGATTTATCGCTGCAATAATGTTTTTATTTAACATTTAAAAAAAAGTATTACCCTCGTATAAAGATTGTTTTGAAAACAATGCTTTTTATGTATAAATGCCGCAGATGTGTAAATTTTTTGTTTTTTTGCTGTTTCAATTGACTTCGTATACTTAAATACTTTTTTTAAAACTTAAATTAAATATGTTTTAGGTACACTTGCTTTAAGACTTAAATCAATTCATTTAAATATCTTTTATTTTTTTTTTAAAATGTTAATTCAACAAAGCTCAATTTTTACAAAAAATTGAATAAATAAAAATTGTAATCACCCGACTTTAAAGCATTTTGATTGGCTTAAAATTGAAACATTTTGTTACTTGGTTTAAAAATAAACCGTTTGATATATATAAATGTGCAAAACTCTGTATAAGATTAAAATAATTTTAAAATGCATCTATAATGGTTGCCTATCCATTTAGTAAATATATATATTTTTAACTATGCAGTCCAGCTGTTATCGAGTCTATTAAATTATGTCGCGAATAGTGTGAATAACATTTTATTGGATAGCCCTTAAAAAAAATTATGACGTGATGTGAAAAAACGCCGAGACACGGGTATCATTTTTTTAACTCTATTTTTAGAATCTGTAGAAATTTTTCATGGGAGGGACCAAAAATCAAATTTTGTCGTACTGTGTAATAAGCACTAATTTGTTTGTTTTACTGTTAATGTTTAATATTTTTCAATAAATTATTGTAAAATTAAATATGAATAATAAAACAAAAAGTGAGGTTAGGCAACCAAGAAAACGCACGATTCTTTTTCTAAGATTTAAATTATCTTTAAGTTTTAATTTGCTTTAAGTTTTCAGTGAAATTAAATGTTAAACACAGCTTAAACATTCCAAACTACCTATTTTTTAAATAAAAATCCAAACAAATTGAAATTAGATAGCTACCTATTTATTAAACAATTAATTGAATTCAATGTAATAGCAAAAATCCATTTCTACTTAAATCATGTTGCTAGGTATTGTCAAACTATTACTGCTTCTAAAAGCAATAATAATTATTGTACATTTAATGTAATCTTTAGCCAATAAATAAATGAGATTCTAAAAAAGTGAGGTTAGGTTGCTTTGATGTTGAATTAAATTGACCTATATAAAGTGCTTTGAAGATAAAATGTTGTATGCCATTCGGCCAAGAAGTGCCTTTTTGTGCTTCGCTCAATTGTAGGCCTCCGCTACGCGTCGGCCTTCAAACCTTGAGCTTAGCACAAAAAGCCTTACTTCTTAACCTAATGACATAAATAACTATTGATTGTTTCAAAACTAATAATAACAAAAGAAGTTGTATATCTGCTTGATTGAAATAATGACAATTTAGGGCGTCGAAACTATCGAAAACCTTCTGGAAGCCGCCAAAAACGAAATCCCCCGAGAATACTGGCCGAAAACCCCCTTAATTCTTAAGGCGACCGCCGGCCTCCGACTGCTCCCACCCGAAAAAGCCGAAAATCTCCTCAACTCCGTCAAAGAGTTGTTCAAAAAAACTCCATTCCTAACCAACGACGAATCTGTGGAAATAATGGACGGCACCGACGAAGGAATATTCTCCTGGTTCACGGTGAACTTTTTGTCCGAGAAGTTTAGCGGCAACCCTGCGAACACCGTGGCAGCGCTGGACTTGGGTGGGGGGTCCACCCAGGTCACCTTTTCGGCCGTCACGCCGGCCAGCTTAAAAGAAACCGACAGGATACATAAGGCTATTACTCCCAATGGGTAAGTTTTAAATCGTTGATTTAGAATGTCGAAAATGTATTTTTGACGTCACACAGTTAATAACCCCCATCCCCCTTGTCCCACTTCGTCGCAAAACAATTTTTAAAATTTAACCATTTAGGAATCTTTACCCAAGCAGCAAAAACTATTACCAAAGTGGTGATATCTTTAAATTAGTTAAGTTTACTAAACAGATACTTTAATTTTTACTTAAAAGTAATTCTAACTTTGAAATAGCAATATTTTGTAACAAAAACATCGTTACCATAAAGTAATAAACATTTAAGTAAAACTTGGTTGCCCACGAGAAGACTTTGCAACTTTAAAAAAGGTGTTATAACTAAAAAAAAAATGTAAATTTAATTTCTAGCAGTTACTTTCGGTTGCTACCTAAAGATTACGTTATAATTATTCTTACTTTGTAGTCCCTTTGCAAGTTAAAATCTTGAAACTGGAACATGAGTTAAAAACTACAAAATTAATAACAAGTTTGAAATACAGCATATTCCGCTCGAGTGAAGAGTTTGTCACACGAGCCGAAGGCGAGTTTGACGGTTTCACGAGAGCGGAATATGCAATTCCAAACGTGTTTCAGTACTTTTTCTACGTTTCCAAAAAATACCATAGAAAAATAATTTAATTGGAAGAAAGTGAGGTTGGATCGGTCTAAAATTTGTTAGTTATTAAAAACAGAGATGTCGCCACGAGTATTTATTCTGTAATCAGATGATAGAATATTTCATTCTGTAGCACTTTACGGAATATATGTCATTCCATAGACAAAAGTGATATTAGAACGGTCAAATTCCGTAATAGGAGTAGAAAAAAGTTATTATTTTAGTATTTGGAACGTTTACGGTACTAATCAAAACTACCATAAAGTAAATTATAATTATATATATTATAAGGTAGAAAAAAACTAGCGAAAACTACTTCAAAGGAAAATGCTTCTTATCGGCCATTTTTTACTGTACAGTACCACGTGTTAATGTACTATGCTCCACACCTCAAAGTCCCACCACGTGACCACGTACGGAACGCAGTCTTTTGAAAATTTGGCATCTAAGGCTTTTCAGGTTATGTATCTGTCAAAGTATAGTCAACGAAAGAAATAATATTATGTTTAGGCGTTAAAAATGTATAAATCTTTATAACATTACAATAACAATGGATGGTTTAAGAATTTAAGAATATAAATACTGCATTTAATGAAATTCTAAAGTGTATGGTGCCAAATAAGTAATATTTTTGTGCATTTGGTCCAAATATCTGGTTTTCTCTATAAAATAATTTTAACTAAACAGCATTTTATTTAAAAAAATCTAGCTTCTCTATTATGGAATAAGAATATCTGTATTAAAGGTAGGTTAATTTATTATAACAAAAATATCATCTAATTTTGTAATTTTAAGGTTAGAATAATTAATTTTGACCAAAATAAATAAGTATTTTGGATTATTTAAAAGACTGTATAATATGGTATTTAAAAATGTGGTAGTTTTTCTTATCCAGCTTAAAGTGTACATAAAGTTTTGTCAATACAAATAGTTAAAAAGCTTCAACTGAATTTGATCTACATCAAAAAATCATTATAACTTTAAAAATTTTAATAAAACACACGTCATGGGAGTATTAAATATTTTCACATTGCAAGTTTCTCTAAAAATTGTTTGTTTTCATATAATCTAACTTAAAGTAAGTATGCCAAGAGGTATGCACAAGTTTTGTCGTTAGAAGTATAAAAGCTTCAATTTAATTTGAACTATATTTAAGAATTATTTAGTATACCTATATTTATTTATGACCATATTAACACACTATAAATATTATTTCTTTCATTGACTATACTTTGACAGATACATGGTCACGTGGTGGGACTTTGAGGTGTGGAGCATAGTACATAATAAATTATTTTAATTGTTTGTAAATGGTTATTTACTTTTTAATAAATAGTAATTTTATTGGTAATAGACGGTCTTAATAATTAAATAAAAAATAAATAATAAATATAGATTATTTTATTTTTAAACATTATTAAATAAATAATTTGTTCATACTGATGAAGCGCATTTATTTTACAAAAACTAAATTCATAAGTTCAACAGTAAAATTTAAAGGGTTTATAAATTTACCTGCATAATTAAACATTATATTGTTATTCTGGAAGTTATAAACTACCAGTACATATTTAATAAACGACGACATTGAAAAGCCAAGTCCTTAGTGGTTCCATTTAAAAAAGGAGGGATAGTATAATCTAATATAAGTTTGACAAAGACAGTTAATATAGAAGTAAAAACAAATAAATTAAAGTAATTATAACGCTCTAGCAACGATATTGAAACGTTCTAGTAACGTAGCAGCTACGTTCCAAATAGTAGCAGGGTTTATATAGCTATAGCTAGTGACATATTTGTTACCTTTTTGCAACTCAATAATTGTTCCCCACTTTAGGCGTAACTTAGTAATGAAAGAGTAATATAAAGACACTTTTAAGTTTCTTCAATAGTTCCATATACGTAACAAATACTTAAATTGTTGCTTGGGGATTCTATACAATTTTTTATTTAATTAATTAGATTTTTTGACATTTTAAAGAATTTTTATTTTGTTTTGTATAGATTTGTTCCTGTGTACACTCACAGTTACTTAGGTCTGGGCCTTATGGCGGCCAGAAAAGAGATCGTGACCTTAGATCATGGAAAAAATACTACCGTCATATCGGAATGTATTAACCCTATTATTAAGCAGGTAAATGCAATATGGTTATGTTATGTCATTAATTTCTGTAATGATTATTTTCGTAGAAAAAATGGACGTACGGGGGTAAGGATTACTTTGTGAGCGGTCTACAAGAAAATTTCCCTATTAGAAAGAAGAAAGACAACGATTTTTATGTAGGGGAAGAAATTCCAATAGTTGATAGTAAAAAATGTACAAAGATTATTCAAAATTACGTCATCAAAATGGCGAAGCCACCCTCTGAATTGCCATTGAAAACCATTTTCGCTTTTAGCTACTACTTCGATAGGGCCACAGAAGCAGGGCTTATAGGTAACAAAAATTGTAACACAAATATTTTGTAAAATAACGTATATTTTTTTAGATGAAAGTAAGGGCGGTAAAGTGAAAGTGGGCAGCTTTAAAAAAGCAGCTGAAACAGGTAAATAAATCCAAGGTACCTATTCAAAATGGTTGTCTAATTATTTTCTTACAGCTTGTCTTACTGCCAATACCGAACAACCTTTTATGTGCCTTGATTTGACGTTTATTTGGGTACTTTTAGAGAAAGGATTAGGTTTAAGCAGTGAAACTACTGTCCATGTAAGTATTTTTTAAGCTTTACATTATACGGCAAAATTCTGACCGTTTTTGCTTTCAGTTGTACAAAAAAATTAACGGCCACGAAATAAGCTGGGCTTTGGGAGCGGGCTACGACTTACTTAGAGGTTAAATAAGTATTTATTAAAATGATTTTTTATATGAGCTCAAAAGTTTTAAGCACAATGTTTATATACATTTTTTTGCCAGTACAACCAATATTGTTATTTGTTAAATAGTACTGATTAATGTGCCTTAAATTATTATACATATTTTTTTTTATTTGAAATGGTATAGGTGTGTTATGTATAGGCTGTGCAATTCAATTCCATTATGATTTAAAATCACAATTTAATAAAAAAATAAAACATTGAAGGTATTTTATTTCACAGTTAAATCAACCCATGATGCAAATTTTATGTATTTTAGTGTAGGACATTTGAACTACCCTCATTAATAAAAAATCCAAATCTTGCATTTTATGAAGTATTATAAATAATTTATACACAATTGTTTTTAAATTTGGAATGTTATACGCTTTGCAATTCAATTACAATATGATTTATAATCACAATTTTATAAAACATTTAACATTGTAGGTAGGTATTTTAATTCACTTGAATCAACAAATGATGCAGTTTTTATGTATTTCAGTGTAGGACAATTGAACTACCTACATTGAGTGGCACAATTCTTACACCATAAATAAAAAATTTAAATTAAAAAAAACTTTTATTCTTATCTTATTTTAATCCCAAAAACCAGAAATTATGGAATTTTTATACATTTCAGTGTAGGACATTTGAACTACCTACACTGAGTGCAATAATTATTACACTATAAATAAAAAAATCCAAATCTTGTATTACTACATTTTTTTTTATTTGAACTTGTATCGATGAGTTATATATAGGCTGTGCAGGACAATTTAAAATCAACTTTAATAAAATCGTTGAGTGAAGGTTATAACATATTTAACATTGTATTTTATTTCAAAGTTAATTCAACAAATGATGCAAGTTTTTGTATCCGTGTAGGACATTTGAACTACCTATACTGAGTACCACAATTTTATTATGATTTAAAATCACAATTTTATAAAAAATAAACATTTAAAATCGTAGGCATTTTATTTTACAATGGAATCAACAATTGATGCAATTTTTATGTATTTCACTGTAGGACATTTGAACTACGTACAACGAGTTTCACAATTCTTACACCATAAATTAAAAATCCAAATATTGTATTTTATTTTATAAATATTTTTCTATTTAAACTTGTATCGATACGTTATATATAGGCTGTGCCATTGCATATCACATTATGATTTAAAATCACAATTTAATAAAATCGTTGAGTGAAGAAGATTCTTTATTCAATGATAAAATATTTAACATTGTATTTTATTTCACAGTTAATTCAACAAATGATGCAGTTTTTTGTATCAGCGTAGGACATTTGAACTACATACACTGAGTACCACAATTTTATTATACATATTTATTTTATTTGAAATGTTTTAGGTGTTATGTATACAGTGCAATTCAATTCCTTTATGATTTAAAATCACAATTTAATAAAAAAATAAACATTTAACATTGTATGTAATTTATTTCACAGTGGAACAACAGAGATGCAATTTTTATGTATTGCAGTGTAGGACATTTGAACTACCTTCATTGAGCGCCACACTTCTTACACCATAAATAAAAAAATCTTAAAAAACAGTTTTATTCTTTAAAAACAAATTATATATCCCCGTGGAACCTGAGGAAGGCACATGTTATAATGCGCCTTTTTATCCCAAAAATCAGTATTTTTCCATCCGCACCAACCTTTAGTAACTATGGTGTGTATATCTTCTCCCCCTGTATAATGCGGGTCTAGAATTAAGAATTTTAGACTGCCCGTGTCCCTGTTGTAATCCACACCTAGTATGGTGTGGGCCAAAACGCCCCCCCCCCTAGAAAAAAAAATTTGTAAAAATTTTTTTTTGGGTAAACAATTTTTACCGATCATTATAGGAGATCCGTGGTATTCAAAATGAGCCACCAATTCAGGCCCTTTAGTCGACTATTTCGTCCCCCCGAATTCACAAACAGTATTTTTTGAAGTAATTCCCAGTAAAGTGTTCAAAACAAAACTAACTTCAGTCGAACCTATCCATTGTCTGGAGTCTACGAAATTCCTTGGCTTGTCACCTATATCCACCAGACATTTTTGTATTTCTTTGAAAGTTGGCACGTTTTTGTTAACAAAAACTACATATAAAAATATATCAGTCTCTAAATGCACAATTTAATAATGATATTTACCCTTGCAATTTAAACCATGAGGCCCAAAGTTTGTAAGGATCTGTAGGCACAACCCCAACCGTTGTCATCCATTCTGTCCTGACTGTAGTGGTAATACTGATATTTACCCCTTCACCAAAGATAAATGTCCTCCTAAAGAAAAAAAAGTACAATGATACTGCAAACAATCAACAAATGATGCAATTTTTATGTATTTTAGTGTAGGACATTTGAACTACCTAAATTGTCACAATTCTTAAACCGTAAATAAAAAATTAAATTAAAAAAAAACTGTTTTATTCTTTAAAAACAAATTATATATCCCATGTTATAATGTGCCTTTTTATCCCAAAAATCATCAAATCAAATCTTATTTTAATTTAATCCAGAAAGTATGAAATTTTGATGCATTTCAGTGTAGGACATTTGAACTACCTACACTGAGTGCAATAATTACACCATAAATAAAAAATCCATTGATTTAAAATTTTTGCAAAAATTGATTGGAAATAAGAAGTGAACTGTTAGGTGGTCAATTTTGTCTTTCAATACATGATAGTTAAAAATATTTTAAATTTAATAAATGTAATCTAAAATTTGTAGTTGGGAAAATTTTAAACAAATATTTAATGAATGTTAAAACGACGTTTCATAGATTTCTTTCTTACCATTATCTGTAATTTTAACAGACTCATGTGGATTTATTAGTGGAGAATTCCCTTTATTTGCCATTGAGTCAAAGTCAAACATATTTGCTCTTCTAAATTTAGGGAATTCAGTTTTTACCAGTAATTCTTCATGTAAAAGTTGGCGTTCTTTTTCTACAAAATAATCATGTAAATAAATAAACAAAAACTAACGCAAAACTGTTTAATACTTAGTTGGTTTTCCTCTAAATTCTTAGGGTAAATTTTAGAAACAAAATGTCCACACTCAGTGTAAAAATGAAATGTTTCCAACTCTTTAATATTGCTTATAACATCCTCATTTTCACTCAAACATCCTAGCAAAACACTTTCATACAACCTTAAATGCCTTATAGTACTCTCCACCAAGATTCCATACAATTTTGAAATTTTAGTCTGCCTATTAACAATGGAGAGAGTGTTAATATCCAGATTTATGTTGAAATTTGTTGATTGTTCTAAAAAAAGTTATGAGATGACCTGTCCTAGTATGCACCTTGACGCCAAGGTGCATGGTCAAAGAGGTCAACTTACTTTTGCTGAAAATGCAGATTGGCGCGTGGTTTTTAATGTCGTTTTCGCTGTCCAACTTTGTGTTCCTTCTCAGGAAATTAACATTTAAAATTTGCAACTCTGCTGTTTGGTTTTTCTTCTTTCTTGTGTTGCCCTCATTTTGATCATTATTTTCACTGCATAACTCTGATATAATACTTTCACCACTTATTCCTATAATAGGGTTATCAAACTCATTTTCCAGCAGAAAAATATTGTGTTTTTCAAAATTAAATGCAATTTTTCCAGTGGTTACTATTTTTCTCAACTCTGCAAAAGTTTCCTCTACCGATTTCTTATTGGCTTCGCATTTTAAAGGCAAATTACCCCTCAACAATAAATGCAAGAATTGAGAATTAATATCATTTTCTGTTAAAGTTGTATAAGTTAAAACCTCCAATTTATCACTCGTTATAATAAAACTTGACAAACTTTTACTCTCCAAGTCAACGTTAATAAAAATCGGATTGTCAGTAACGTCTACATCTTTAACATACTCTCTAATCCAAGAATCATTTGGTTTTTCATTATCAATATGAAAAATACCACAAAAATCTATTTCAGCAGGTAACGAGTTCACCAAATTATTCCCACTGCCTATATCTACTTGTAAAGCCAAAATTGTAAGATTATTTTTGGAGAAACTACCAAATAATTTTCCATGACATGGTTTTGAAATCTCAGATATTCTCTACAAAAAAGTTCAACATATGGTTCATGTTTTTTGTTATAATTATACTCAAAATATTATTCATTAACGTTGTTTTAACTCACCTTTATAACTGAGTGCGATATTTTTACAGTCGTCTTCATTTTATTACAATAATAATTAAATTTTGACGTATTTGAGGTTATAGAAATAATATTGATGGATTAAATTTTTAGAGTAAATCTTAAATGTTCAACAGAGGATAGACTATTTAAAAAATATATTACGATTAAACTTAATAATTACAGCTAATTGTACAAAAAACACACGTAAAAACTAAAAATTATAAGGTTTTGACTTAAACGTCAAAAACTTGAAAGTAGTTCAAATAATTTGCTCCAAATCACAGCAGTTTTTCTGTTTGGTGTTTGACTGATAGATGTCACTATATTTTTAAATCCTTAAAATATGATTTAAGGCTAAATAACCATAAAGAATTATAATGTTTAAAGTCTTACAAATAAATCATTTATAAGCAATTATAATTATGCCATAATTATATGTTTTTTTAAACAAAATATTTATTTTTTGGCGCCATCTAGAATAACTTTGACGTACTTATTGCAACCGCGTTTCCATGGAAACTTGTTTGTAAATAAGCCGACAAACGTCATTTACGCTATTTTTGTTATTAAAAATGAATTGGGACGAAGATATCGACTTATTGGGCGGTAAAAAGGTGTGTTAAGCAATTTTATACGGTAATTGAGTGCTATAGAGTTATTTTTAGTCAGGGGTTAAACAGGGGCGGAGGTCGAGTAAGAATTTGGCTGATGATTTGGGATCAACAAGTTCAACTCCTAGAGAAGTCCCTATAAAGACTGGTGTGTGGACTGATGAGGGGTCAAAATCAAATAAGTAAGTTTCTAAATTGATGCATTTAGTGGTTAAATTTAACTTTTGTGTGTTTTAGGAACAAGGGGTCCAATATTATAGAACAGTAAGTCCTAAAAGTGATTGAGTGTTTGTTTTGTAATGTATTTTTCTAGGGAACGTTTTCAAAAGGAGAAAATAGCAGATTCTGACGACGATATACCCATTATACCGGAAATAGACGATCTACAAGATGACCCATTGAATTTACCTGATGTAAGACCAATGTATGTAAAGTAAAACAACATAAAATACAAAATTTACAGAATATTATTCAGGGTTACAGTAAATAAATCCACATATAAAGAACTAGATGACCAGTTCGAGAATATACAGTCTGAACAGGTGAATTTTGGAAACTTGGGTGATATAGATTTATCATATTTCACTAGCAAGTTGAATCCCGAGAAAAATGTTGAAGAACCAAATGAAATTTGGACCATGGATTCTTTATTTGAAGATTTAGCAAGAACTGCTACTTTTTAGGGTGAGTTTTATTACAAAAATGTTATAAACCATTCATATTTTATTTTTACTAAAATAGATATGGAATTTTTATAATTATTTTTGAATTTTTTATCAACTCAAGTTTAGAACTTGATTTGATCAAAAATGCGAAAATAATGCTCTAACATTCAATTTTTAAATTTATAGAAATTTTGGATTTTTTAAACCATGGTTATGGCACCCCATTCCAATTTTTAATCATAAGTGTTTTAAATGTAATAGAAAATTAGGTTAAGTAGTTTTTTAAAATTATGGAATATTTAATTTTAATTGGGTATGTCTGACATAATAATTAAATAAAATTATGTCAAGCATAAATTTAATTCAAATTTAATAGAAATTTATATTGGAATTATTGTGAGACTTTTTGAAACTCTTTTATTTTATTCTATTATTTTTTAAGTTGCAATTTCTTATTCATAACACGTCAATCATTTTTATTTTACAATTAATTTTATGTGTACACATAAAATTAATACAATGAATTTTTATGTTACAATTAAAATATGACTTTACATACCGTAAACACGGGTGGCTTTAGCTCACTTTCAAACTTAATCTTAACATTTTTGTAGTTTTAACAATCATAAACATTAAATATTGTATACCAAAATTTGAGTCTTGAGTTGCTCTTTCATAATAACTATGTTATAATCTTACATAGGGCAGTGTTTCAAAAATAAAAATTAAAAACGGTGTGCAAAGTTACCCCCTGGTTGCGGTTGTCTCACAGTGTAATTTCCGTATAAAATTAACTCAATATTTTATTTTATTTTTATTAGACATATGTTAGCAACGACATATAGCAATTGCAAGGGATTACTGATAAAAACAATAAAAAATCGACCTGTAGTTAACAAAGGATCATCATTCCAAAGAATTGCGCATAATATAGAAATTGAAACGCGTGTATTTTTAAGAGTTTTGCACTATAGTGCATTATAATGCAATATATACAACTTTAAAGTGTAATAAATCCCTTTTTTTTTAACACTGATTTTCCTGTAATATAAACTCAATAGAATCGTTCAATTGACAGGTTTAGACCAACAAATTATAAGTGTTAATTTTAGCGAAAATTTTTTTCATAAAAGGGCTAAAGTCACCCGTGTTTAAGGTAATATAAATTATAGAATTAATTTTATCTGTACACATAAATTAATCGAAAAACCCTCTATCCACCCCTTTTCGGCTGTCCTTGAAAAAATAATGTCGAAAATACGCAATAGGAGTGGAAAAAATAATAAAAAACATATGAACAGTGTAACAATAATTTATTTATTACAAAAATACAATAACCTATGAAATATAAAGTAGTTTGGTAGATATTGTATCAAAATTAAAATAATATTAAATTAAATAGGTATTTTGGAGTCTCATTATAGAAACTATATTTTTTGTTAAATTATTTAATACATTTCTAAAGAATACAAAGTATTATTTTACTGAATATTTCCTTGAAACGTATACATACATATATACCTAAGTATTAGGTATTTTCTATTATTTTCTGACATTGTCAGGAACATAATTATCTTTCCCTGGAATACCGGAACCTGTGGCGTCACCTAACCAAGGATATTTGTTGGGACAATCTCGGCAAGTTTCCAAATACCTCGTGTCAGTGAAATTCGAATCTGCCGTTTTGAAACTTAAAGCGCACTTATTGGAATTCTTGCAAGCTTGAGGGATGTTATCCTTCTTTTTACTGCAACCCCATGCTTCAAAGTTGTTGAGTTCCTTTGAGGTTTTCGGGTCTGTGATCCAGGTTAACGCTTGGGTGTTGGTGACGAACCATACGTCCTCACTAAAAAAAGTATAAATATTAGACTGGACCAAAAAAATCGACTATTTTTTTTTTGAAAGTATATCGAAAATATTGTTTGGGGTGACAAAGTTTGAGTCCATAATATTAATATTAAGATATTTTTTTTCCTGAGCGAGTTTTTGTCTCAGAACTCCCAAATCATTGAGTTTAACAAAATTGACTTAAATATATTTTTTGAAGAAAATTGAATGCTCTACAAGAAAGGTTTGATTGGAATTTTCCGTCAGATGAACCCTTTTCTTAAAATCATGCCTTAAAAATTGGTATAGTTTTACAATTTGATCTTTTAACTTTGGAATTTTGTAATTCAAGTAAAAATCAGTACCCTGAACAAAAACGATAAATATTCTTATGGGAAATCAAATGCTCTACAAAAAAAGTCTTTTATCATTTTTGGCTAAATTCACCCCATCTAAAGTTATTCAAGGTTAAATTTGTAGTCAAGTCAAAACGAAATTTTATCCTTGAATAACTTTTGATTGAGTGAATTTAGCCAAAAATGTTAAGAGGCTTTTTTTGTAAAGCATTTGATTTCCCATAAGAATATTTATCGGTTTTTTATGGTTACCTACTGATTTTAACATGAATTACAAAATTCCAATTTAAAAGGTCAAAATGTAAAACTAAACCAATTTTTATGGCATGATTTTAAGGAAACGGTTCATCTGACGGAAAATTTTACTTTAACCTTTTTTGTAGAGCTTTTAATTTACTTAAAAAAATATTTTTAAGTCAATTTTGTTGAAACTCAATAAAATTATATGGACTCAAACTTTCACAATAATTTTTTTTTGTCACCCAAACCATACTTTCGATATACTTTCCAAAAAAAAAATAGTTGATTTTTTTGGCCCAGTCTAATAAATATATAAATTGAAAAGAAACCCGTTCCGGAAAAAACTTACAGTGTTGTCACCCAATCCAAGAACTTGTGCAATCCTTGTTCCAATTCCTTAATGCTGAACCAGTTGGTGTGGAAAGGCATCATGTAAGGCGCCCTATTTTGGTCGTAGTACCTCAAGAAGTCCTCTTGTAACCACTCGAAAACTTCATTGGCATCGTGGTTATGCAAAACGCATTGATCCAAGTACGGGCAATGGCCTCCCTCAAAGCCTTCTACGTAATGAGTGTTTAGAGGTATTTCCCAAACTCCTGGGAATGATTTGGATGGACAAGTTCCAGCCTTGCATTCGTGCGGGATTTTGTAGTCCAAGGTGTAGGGCCAAACTGGCACTGGCAACGCTGGCACTCCCACGGAACTGTCGTAGATAAAACCGAACTCCTCTAGAACCTACGAAACGGTGTTTTTTTTAAATTTATTATTTACCCGAAAAGACCAAAGGTCCATAACAAGTATAATACAGTATAAAAAAATGTAGTGATTATAACAAATTTATGAAATACATTATTTTCTTAATACTCTGTAGTGTTTCTTTCTTCAAATATTAGGTTTTTCACAGCTCACTGAAAAGCGTTCATATTAGGTTGATTCTTTATTTTATTTGGTAATTCATTGAAGAGTTGCGCTGCATTTTAGTTATACTTTTCCTACCAGTATTACATGTATTAGGAAGTATAAATATGTCATATCGATTTCTTGTAGGATAGTTATGTATATCACAAATTTTTTTCAGGTTTACATTGGACTCAATTAAATTGTGTTTTATTTTGTAGATAAGTTTAACACTGTCAAGTTTTATCATCTCATTTATTGTTAGCAATTTAAGTTCATTCACTTTTAATACACGATTTTGAGTCGTTTGAATCCTACTAATATCAGATTTTCCAGATTGACCCCAAAATACGCATAGATAATTTAAGATGGAGTGGATATAAGCGTAGTATACAATATATCTTGTTTGTTAGTTGAAATATTGTGCATTTCGTTTTAAGTAATAGCTTATATTATTAATCTTATTTCTAATTTTATCAATATGTTTTTTAAAGTTAAGTATTGTAAGTCCTAGATAGCAAAACTGGTCTACTTCTCTAATATTTTTATCACAGATCTTTAATTGGTACAGATTATCACAGTTAGGTTTATTAAATGTCATATATACACACTTACTTTCGTTAAGCTTGATTTTATTGTTTTTTGTCTATTTATTGATTTTTTCAAAATCATTTTGTGCTTTGGTGAAGATTGAGTCTATATCACCATCATAGAACATAACAGTATTTAACAGTTTTTAATGTCATTTATATATATCAAGAACAGTAATGGACCTAGGACTGAGCCCTGTGGGACTCCATATTGGACTAGTTTTTTATCACTTGTGGTGTTTTTTAAAACTTGAGCTTTTTGTTTGATACACTTTTAATTACCTTGTATTGCGTGTTGCGTCCAGGCTTCAAGTATGGCGCCCTCATTCCTACGACCTCGCTTTTTGATACGTTGGAGAAATGTTGCAAGATGTCTCTCATGCCGACCATTTCACCGACCCATTCTTCGTAGCCTTTGTCTTGGAGACCCATTTGTAGACTAAAAGATAAGACTTTTAAATTTTATTAAAAATACAGGCTGAAGGACCCCGGTCGATGGCCTTTTGTATATTTTGTATTATATGTTCTGTATTGTACTGAATATGCAATAAAAACTTTATTTATTTTTATTTATTATTAAAAATATAATTTTTTTGGTAGAAGTTACATGAAATCAAATCGGGGTAACTTGGTGGCCATACCTTCAATATTGGCGCTATTTTACTTTTACTTACGATATGGTTTCCGTGCCGATTTCATGACCTTCACTGGCCAATTGTTGTATCATTTGGTAGTTACTGTACTCGTGCGAAATAAAGAAGGTACCCTTGATGTCGCAACCATTAGGATTTTGCCTTTTCTTGTTGAAAACTTTTTTGTAATGTTCGTAATTATTAAGATTGACGGCGCCATCGAATGTCAGTAGAATCATTTGTGGAATCTAAAAATATAAAAAAGTATGTAAAATATGAAGAGATAAAATGGGTCTAACTTCGTACCTGTTCAGGGTCTAGACCGCCCGGTACAAGGGTGCCATCTTTCGAGCAAAAACAGTAAGGTAATTCGCACTCGGCCGGGTTGCATCTCACGGCTAAATCTTTAGGTGGTTCAGTTACTGTGGCTGGGGCTAAAAATTAAGTTGCGAGTTTTATATTTTCTAAACACTTTAACTTTTTACTTGTTGCAATTGGTCCACATCTAGCTTCGTTTTTGAAGGTGCAGTACTTGCTGATATCGTCGAAATATAATCCAGATGGGCACCGGTTTACATAGGGGTAACCATCTACACACTACAATTTTTATTAGAACGTGTATTTTTAAATATTGTTTATAAAATTACCTGGAAGAATCTACGGCAAGTATTTGGATCGGCATAATTTCCATTTCCGGTTACTTGCGGACATTCAAATTCTACATCTTTCTTTTCTTCTTTTGGTTTTCTAGTATTCACATTTTCATTATTTGGACTTTGGCTGTGTACTGAAACAAACCGTAAAATTTTTTGTATTTTTTATATTTTAACAGGTCGTAAATTTTACGAAAAACGCATTAGGAGTTTCAATATTTGGCCACCTAAATGTTCTGATTTAAGTTCGGGTTACTTTTTTAATTTAGTTTATTAAAACAAATACGATATTTAAAAATAATAAACGTATTTTTATTAAAATATTCTGAAATCTTTAAAATGTATTTATATTTTTTGTAATAATCTTATATTAAAAAAACGCTTTTTGCTGAAAAAATTCTTAAAAATCCTTATATAAATAAAAAAAGTCGCATAAACCAAAATCGGAATATCTTGGTGGCCAAATTTCATTCTGAATACAAATACGACATTTATAATAAAACCATTTAAAATATCGTACTTTTATTAGTATTCACTATAAATTTCATCAAAATTGCGTTAATATTGCAGAATATACTTTTGGCCACCAAGATATCCTGATTTTGGTTTATGCAACTTTTTTATTTATATAAGGATTTTTAAGAAATTTTAAGAATTTTTGCCCCAAAAAGCGTTTTTCTTGGTACACCCTTAAATCTTCAACAAAATGGCGTTTAATTTGTAATGGGTTTAAAAAAATAAAGTTTTAGCACTGAGTCAAGCGATTTTGATAAAATAGTTTTTCAATCAAGTTAATCAAAATCGACCTAAAAATAACCAAGTAACATAAACTCAAATCGGGATATCTTGGTGGTCAAAAATCGTAACTTCTGCAATTTCATTCTGGATACAAATACGACATTTATAATAAAACCATTTAAAATATCGTACTTTTATTAAAATTTTTGCACCAAAAAGCTTTTTTCTTGGTACACTCTTAAATCTTCAACAAAATGGCGTTTAATTTGTAATGGGTTTTTAAAAAATAACTTTTTAGCACCGAGTCAAGCGATTTTAATAAAATGGTTTTTCAATCAATTTCATCAAAATCGCCCTAAAAATAACCAAGTAACATAAACTCAAATCGGGATATCTTGGTGGCCAAAAATCGTAACTTCTGCAATTTCATCCTGGATACAAATACGACATTATAATAAAACCTTTTAAAATACCGTACTTTTATTAGTATTCACTATAAATTTCATCAAAATTGCGTTAATATTGCAGAATATACTTTTGGCCACCAAGATAGCCTGATTTTGGTTTATGCAACTTTTTTATTTATAAACTCCTGGACAAAATTAACGCAACATCATAAATTTGTCAAATTTTTTATGCTATTTATTTTTTTAATTTAGGGTCCGATTTGAATGTTTTTTTTTTGCATTGTAGATTGGTGCCTTGACAATGTTATAATTTTCGCTGTTTATGATAAAAAGTTCATTTTCGATTTATACCGGGTGTAATAAAAATGTAATGTTTTTTTTTCCGAAAATTCGTATCACCCTGTGAAGTATACTAGCAACCGAAACCTATAGCAGTTAAAATTAGACGGTAGGTCCATATTTCGTCAACATATTCTTTTTTGGTTTACTTTATTATCTCTGTTATTAAAGGAGATACGCTGTTTTATAGCGTAACATGTTTTTATAGACTTCAAAACATTAATTGTTAAATGTTTTCAAGTAGGCTATGAAAAATTCGCCATACTTATAAGAACTGTTCGAAAACTGCTTATTAAACGTTCGTTTCGTATTTTAATCTTGAAAAATGAATCGTCCAAAAAAATTTTCGACAGAAGAAGCAGTAAGAGACTTAACTTTGGTGGATGAGGGCTATTCGATGTCATGTTGCTAATGTGATAGGAAGACATCGTTCGACTATAAGTCGTAAGGTTAAACGATTTAACGAGACAGGATCTTACTCTTCAAGGTCAGTACAAGGGCGAAAACGATGTACCGATCCAAGGGATGAGCGTTTTATTAGGCAAACTGCTCTAGAAACAGGAAGATTACTAGTACTAGGCTAAAAAGTGAGCTTAGAACTGCTCGCCATAATACAATATCGTCTCGAACAATCATGATTGTGATCCTGCAGGAGACGTTTGAATGAGGCAGGTTTAAGCAAAAGAAGACCGGCAAAGAAACAATTACTTACCAGAGAGCACAGAGTTTCAAGATTGCGTTTTGCCAGAAATTATCAACATTGGACTGTTAAAGAAGGTTTAATTTTCTGATGAAACGAGAGTTAGTCTCAATTCTCCTGATGGTGTGAACGTGTTTGGCGAAGGTCAGGAGAGAGATTTGCAAGTGGCAATATCTCTCCTAAAATCCCGTTTGGTAAAGGCTCTGTAATGTTTTGGGGAGGAATATGCTTCAACTGACGCACAGAGTTAGTCCCTATACGTGTAAGATCAATGAACGCCGATTATTATCTAGAAAACATTGTAATTGAACATGTAATGCCATCTGTTCCTTTTTTGGGACCGAATAGTTTATTTATGCAGGATTATGCATTTATCAAAGCGAGCAGAAATTATACAGATAACAAATAATCTAAACATCTCTTGAAATGTCAGAAAAGGTCCATAGCCTACTTGAAAACATTTAACAATGATTGTTTTGAATAATAAAGTCTATAAAAACATGTTACGGTATAAAACGGCGTATCTCCTTTAATAACAAAGATAATGAAGTAAACCAAAAAAGAAAATGTTGGCGAAAGATGAACCTACCGTCTAATGTCAACTGCTATATGTTTTGGTTGCTAATATACTCCACAGGGTGATACGAATTTTCGGAAAAAAACATGACTTTTTTATTACACGCGGTATAAATCGAAAATGAACTTTTTCTCATAAACAGCGAATATTATGACATTGTCAAGGAACCAACATACAATGCAAAAAAAAATCATTCAAATCAGATTATAAATTCAACAAAAAAATAGCATAAAAAATGTGGCAAATTTTTTGATGTTGCGTTAATTTTGTCCAGGAGTTTATAAGGATTTTTAAGAAATTTTAAGAATTTTTGCACCAAAAAGCGTTTTTCTTGGTACACCCTTAAATATTCAACAAAATGGCGTTTAATTTGTAATTGGTTTAAAAAAATAACGTTTTAGCACTGAGTCAAGCGATTTTGATAAAATGGTTTTTTAATCAAGTTCATCAAAATCGCCCTAAATTTCTTCAAAATTGCGTTAATATTGCAGAATATACTTTTGGCCACCAAGATATCCTGATTTTACCTAATGCAACTTCTTTATTTATATAAGGATTTTTAAGAAATTTTAAGGTTTTAAGCACAAAAAAGCGTAGTTTTTAGTACTTCCACTTAAATTTTAAACAAAATCGCGATTAACAGTTTAAAAATTACGTTATGGCACTGATAAGTCAAGTGATTTTAAAAAAATGTTTAGAAAAAAGAGTTTTTTCAATAAATTTTATCAAAATCGCTTTAAAAATAACGAGGTAACATAAACTCAAATCGGGATATCTTGGTGGCCAAAAATCGTTACTTCTGCAATATTAACGTGATTTTAATAACAAAATCGAGTTTTACCAGTAATGATATGATCTGCCCACCAAAACTTTTTCAAACATATGTTATAATTAAAATATTGTTTGTGAAAATAATAAATTAAGAAAAACTAATGTATTTTAAGATTATATCTGATATAGAAAGTTTTTTAATTCATTAAAATTAGCATCTGCCTAATTTCGTTTACAATTTTAAGATGCAGAAATGATTGTGCTAAAATTTTATTGTTTACAATAAATACCCCAGCAATTACATCATAATTCTTGTAAATTCATAATAACTACAATGCTATTCACTTTTACATTGTATAATAACACAATTATGTAGATTTATTATTTTTTTTTGTATGTCGAGGATATAAATTTAATATCAGCTGAACTAGTTGAAAGAAAATTAATTAATTTAGTCTTTCCAGCGCTTTCTTTCAATATTTTCCACGCAGTAAAACGGGGACAGCCTTATTTGATTTAAATTAACGCCAATACGTTACCGAACATTAAAAAATTTCTACTATACTTTCGTAAATTGACGTGTGTTGACAAGTTCAAATTTGCACTGTATCTCGAAAAATACGAATGAAGAAAACTATTTTCATTTTAAATTTCACGGTTTTATCACTAGGAGTTGTAAAGATATACAACTTTATTTGAAATGTAGTTTTTGTTATATAAACCGTTCCCAAAATTTGTATTCAAAAACTGTCCTCAGATGTTTAACAGTTTTTTTTACTGTATTTTTTTGCTCATTATCTGAATTTCAAGCAGGTCATTGTTACTACAACTTTTTATGAATATTATTTTTACTTTCGATTTCAATGAGACTCCAATAACCGGATTTTCTATAATAAGTAACGAACTTATTAAATGATAATTTCACTTTTGTTATATTATAGTAAACATGATTTTGAATAAAGGGACCTTGAAAATACGCTATTTAATATATTTATACGACAACCAGGTTAAATTAGAAAGTTAATTTTGAAGATTCATTTTTCGACATTTAAATGTATTTTTTCTAAGAAAACATAAAGCAGCGATATTCCTGGAATAACTTATACTTAAGAACAGGTTTCAGAAGATATTGTTCTTTACAGTTGACATTTGTCACTATTGTAACTATTTCAAGGCAAAATATTTAGCAATATCACACCTAATATATTAATAAATACCTGTTTCCTTAATTATTTTAACCATAGGTATTTGCTAATAAATAATAAACCACTTTGATTGGGTCATTAGGTAAAATATCTATGATTTGCAAGTTAATTGATTTTTGCCAATGGTCTAAAGGGGCTGACACCAAGGTTGTAGCTGGTGCAACACAATACATTTTTTTTTTCAAAATTAAGTTTATTTTTCAAAATTTCGGACAGAAGTTGCAACTAAAATCGGGATATCTTGGTGGCCAAAAATAAGTCGACTTTACAAAATTATTAAAGGGAGTAAAAACATTTTTATTAGTACGAGGTGTGTTCAGAAAATAATGGGAATTGTCAAATTTCGCGGGTTCGGAGGGTTCGGTTGTCATAAAATTGTCTTTATTATGTTGGTATACATGCCCCCGAAATATGATAAAAATTTTAGCTGTTTTCATTGTTTACTTTGTCTGTGGCAGCCGCTAAGGTTTAGACGTGTTTTATGAGCTCGGCGATTTTTCGTTCGTTAAAAGAAACGGATGAAAGAATTTTTATCCAATTTTGCTTAAAAAATGAAATAAATTATGTGAAATGTTAACAAAGGCCTAGAGTGAGTCTGCTATAAGTAAAACAAGAGTTTATAAGTGGTATAAGAGTTTCCAAGATGGCCGTGAAGACGTTGAAGATGACGAACGCCCCGAACGCAAAAGCACATTAACAACCGATAAAAACATGGAAAAAGTGGAAGAAATGGTTATAAACCATCAGAGAAGTCGCTGATGATGTTGCTATATCGATTGGCTCATCCCATGAAATTTTTTTGAATGTTTTGGGTATGAAACGTGTGGCAGCAAAATTTTATCTAAAATTGTTAAATTTTATTCGCCAGACATGCCTCTGACTTTTTCCTATTCCCAAAAATAAAGAGAACCTTAAAGGGCCGTCGTTTTGCAAGCATAGATGACATTAAAAGCGCATCGCTGAAAGAACTAAAGGCTATCCCAAAGATCGAGTTTTAGAAGTGTTTCGAGTATTGGAAGAAGAGCTGGCACATATGCATAATATCCAATGGGGACTATTTTGAAGGCGACAACATTAATGTAGACGAATAAATAAATATTTGTTTCAAAAAACGAAAATTCCCGATATTTTCTGAACACACCTCGTATAGCTTAAAAATGTTATTAAAATTGCATAATAATTGTAGTAGTTTTAGTTTTGGCCACCAAAAAGTTCTGATTTAAGTTCGGGTGATTTCTTTAATTTTATGACGATTTGTTTGTACTTTTCAGAGTTTACTAAAAACAAATACGTAGGTAGGTATAAATCCGGATATCTTGATGGCCAAAAATCGTAATTTCGCAATATTTACACAGCTTCAATAACATCTTTGTTACCCTTAAAATGATAAATAAATAACCTATTTGTCAGTTTTCTATTAACTTCATTATTTAAATTAACTTATGTTCAAAAAGTTGTATAAAGATATATACAGTTATATAAATTACAATTTAATGTAGCACATTTTTTTCTTGTTACAGAAAACAGAAAAAAATAATTTACATAATATGAACAATAATCATAATTTAAGAAATAGTATGCGCATATTTGTTTTTTATGTAGCATTATGTAATTGTGGTTTTAATGTTAATGTTTATAATCATAATGGTTACAACTATCTAGATTTAGCACCATAAACTAGATTACTTTTTAGCTAGAAGACCTGTTTAGTTTTAAATTAAACCTTAAGACTTACCTAAACTTATAGCTAAACACAATATACTAAACTTAACTAGTTTCTTATGACTGTTTCGTTGCAGGATTGCTTGAAACATTGTCCTGCTTGTATGTGTCGCCGCACTGAACTGACACTACTGCTGTTCTTGAAGAGCGACCACTTTCCTACCTCTTTTTCTGACTTTCAGTATACCTGAGGCTCGACGCGATTGGCCGACAAATTGTACTTTCTTCTTTACACAAACTAAGCGTCGGATTCTGTTATTTTGTGTGTGAATTATTTAGCCGAAGCATAGGTCAAATAAACACTTATGGGTGTTTAAATGCGTGTAAAAACACCGGTTTTGGTATTTTAACTTGTCGTTCAACACAAAAAATGTTGCAAAACTAAAATGTTATACTACAGCTGGAATTTGTGGGATGTATGTTAAAATTTGTAAATGTCTGTGAACACATTAAAAAGAGCGTATTTTTATTTAAATAACCTTAACATTTCATCAATATCTCCCCAATAATAATACTTAAAACAGAATAACTTGGTGACATTTTTTGTATTTTAACTTGTTAAAAAGAAAAAAAACACATAGAGAAAGACCGTATTTTTCTTTAAATAAAGAAGTTACCTGTACTTAAATCAGGGAACTTGGTGGCCAAAAATTTCAACTCGTAATTGGAACGAGAATTTAGTGAAATTTTCAACGTAGTACTAAAAATGTGCTTTATTCACTGCCATTAAGAAAAAATAATCTATACCGGAATTTTAACGATTATATAATGATTTTCTTGTTTTATTATTTTCAACGATTTGTTAATGAGGATCAATTAGATATAATATTCATTTGATTTAAGTGATTAAATAAATTTATTACCTGGAATTTTCATTACCAACATTTTTTCTAAATAAAACAACATTTTTAGAAACATATACGTTTTATTTTTCAAACCTAAAATTAATACAAGTGTCGAGAAAAAGTGGACTCTCTTAAAAATATTAAAAATTAAACGTTTACAAAAATATGATTTTTCTATAATAAACTTTTAATTCAACATTAAAATAATATACAATAAATAGCAAAAAAAAAAAATAGAGAAAAAAAAACAAATTGAAAAACGATGTTTTAGCCCAGTCTTAAAATATAAACATTAAAAAAAAAGTTAATTGGCCTTTGACATAATTTTGATGTCATAAAAATTATTGTCAAAATTTACAACAAAACAAAAATAAAAAGTGGATATATGTATTTTATTATTATTTGATTGAAGTCATTAAATATATTACCTGGAATTTTCATACCAACATTTTTTCGTAAGTAATATTATAAGGGTATCTAATTTTTCCGAAAAAAATCGAAAAAACACGTTGCTAAGTAATATTTTAACAAGAAGCATGAGTGTTGGTGGCAACAAAAATCCGAGTCGAAGACGAGGATTTTTGCACCTGCACGAATGCGTTTTGTTAAAAAATATTACTTTGCATTATTTTTTCGATTTTTTTTACAGAAAAAATTAGATGCCCGAATGGTATTTGACAAGACTATTTCATTAGTAACAGTTAACAATTAAAATATAAATTGCTGACAGGTGCTGTCATACAGTTTTTCCACCTAGAAACCATTTGTAATTCAAAATTGCGCGTTTGTGATTGGTGGAAATTAAGACGAGGGAAGTAGTCTTAATAAAACAAGATTTTTATAAATATATACGTTTTATTTTTCAAACTTAAAATTAATACAAGTGACAAGAAAAATTAAACGTTTACAAAAATATGATTTTTCCATAATAAACTTTTAATTCAATAACATTAAAATATTATACAATAAATATCAAAAAATAGAGACAAAAAACAAATTGAAAAACGATGTTTTAGCCCAGTCTCAAAATATAAATATTTAAAAAAAAGATTTTAATGTCATAAAAGTTATTGTCAAAATTTACAACAAAAAAACAAAAATAAAAAGTGGATATATGTATTTTATTATTATTTGATTTAAGTGATTAAATATCCCAGCAAACACATAATGTAATGGCCCATTACAGCGTTTAATGGTTAAATGATGGCATTTTTAACCCAAGCTGTTCTTGTACTGGGCCTCTACAGGAATTTTTCGTTAATAAATGTCAATTTAGACCAAAGGCTGTCGTGGTAAGGTCTTGCAATGGCCCTTTTCAGGCAATGATATGTATAATTTAACATTAAAGGCCCACAAATGGCAATTATAAGTATCAAGTTAATGGAACTGTAACACACCATTACAGTGCCAAATGTTTTCCTTTGCTTTACACCATATTTACTAATGAATTGCCTCATGTTAGTGGTATTATGCATATGCATATAGAAAAATAATATAGGTTTTGAGATATATTAATTAATTATCTAATAGGTGTATTTTATAATTAATTATTAATGAACTAAACAACTAGGTACTACCTTTTTCAAGTAAGTATTTTTACTGTACAATTTTTACATTATAATGTCGTACTATTTAATAACCTAGGTTAATATATTCTTTTACTAATCTGCCGTGCTTAATGAAAACGCCGTAACCAACAATTTTGCGATTTTTGTTTTATGGCATTTTCTACTAGAACAATTCATCCTGCGTCTATCCCCGGTACTCAAAAAACCGTATCTATATATATACGGTTTTTTGAGTACCGGGGATAGACCCAGGATGAATTGTTCTAGTAGAAAATGCCGTAAAACAAAAATCGCAAAATTGTTGGTTACGGCGTTTTCATTAAGCACGGCAGTAATGATACTTTTAAGTAAAAATTAATTAATTTTTAGAAACGGTTAGGCTAAAATTTGAATTAGCCAATACAAAAGATATTGAAAATACTATAAAAGCATGGTTAAGGGGAGCAATCGACAGGGATGGCGGTCGTAAAAATCGAGAGGAAAAAAATCAATGAAATTATTAATTTTTCTTATTTTAATTTTTTATTTACTGAAAGAAATTTGATTTTATTTTTTTTCAATTAAATATGTTATGTTATAATTATGTTTGAATTACATGTATTTTATAACACATTAAACATTGTATTTTTTAATTTTTTGAAAGTTTTAGGGACATTCCATGATAACGAAATTTTTGTCCCGACTGTTATCTATATAGTAAAGACCTATCTATTATGGTGGATTAAATTTGGTAGGTATATATTTATTAGGTCGGATATTACACGATAATCGGGAATTTTTATCCCTACCGTCAAAAATCGGTCGGGATAAAATATTTCAATTATCATGAAATATCCGTACCTAGTAAATATATAGCTAGGTACCACATTTAATCCGACATAATAGGTACTTTACTTATCCATTAAAGAATATTTAACTAACCACTATAGAATCTTTAACACCCCATATTAGAACCTTTAGCTTGCCACATTTGTACCTTTAACCTGCCATATCGGAACCTTTAGCGGTTCTTGTAAGTGTCTTTATCGACTGCCGTTACATGCCCATAAAAGGTGAACGCGACATAATATGTAGAGGTCCAGTGAGCCTTTATAGGGCCTTTAGTTTATTAAAGGCACTCGTTTAAAGGGCCATTACAGAACCTTTACGGTTGTGTTTGCTGGGATATTACCTGGAATTTTCATTACCAACATTTTTTTCTAAATAAAACAACATTTTTAGAAATATATACGTTTTATTTTTCAAACTTAAAATTAATACAATTGACAAGAAAAAAGTGGACTCTCATAAAAATATTAAAAATTAAACGTTTACAAAAATATGATTTTTCTACAATAAACTTTTAATTCAATAACAGATACAATAACATTAAAATAATATACAATAAATAGCAAAAAAATTGAGAAAAAAAAACAAATTAAAAAAACGATTTTTTAGCCCAGTCTTAAAATATAAACATTTAAAAAAAGTGAATTGGCCTTTGGCAAAATTTTGATATCATAAAAGTTATTGTCAAAATTTACAACAAAAAAGACAAAAATAAAAAGTGGATATATGTGTGTATGTTATAGTTACCAAACACCTTAAAACTGCCAATTATGTAAACACTTAATAAAATTCGTCTTAAAACCTAACGCATTTTCTCGGTACGCTTGTAAAACGTCGTAAAATTACAAATAAGACCCACTAATGGATCTTTCGTAGCTATTTTCGTCGGGGGAGATTCGCACGTTCTCCACGGAGCACCTGGGGGCGCTCCCGTTGCTGGCGCAAGCGTCCGAAGCCAGCGACATCTCTCGGGCGATCGAGCTACTAGCGCTGTTGCTGCTAGACGGCGCCAACGGCAAGCCCAAGATCGCTCGTACGTTGTCGGTCAGGTGTTCGGCGTTTTTGAGTTGGTGATAGACGCCCTCGGCCTTGTTGAAGATCGTATCTATGTCCAGTTTGCCGCTTAGATCGTTTATATGCTGGAAAAATATTCGCATAAAATGTGAATGCATCGGTGCACGTCATATGACGTCAGCGTTAAGGTCAGAGCTGGGCAGTAGTTAACTACAAATGTAGTGACTAGTTACTCGTAATTCGTAGTTAAAAATGCAATTAATTTGGCTTTGGTGGTGCGTAAATGAGCAAAATCATATAAAAAAGTACTGACTACGGCCCAGAAGAGACAAAGTATTCCTAGCGGATAATAATCTTCGCTTTGAAAAGAATTTATATAAAAGAAATTAAAATTGTATGTCAACACACGTAAATGTTGGACTCCAATGGTGAATGGGTATTTTATTAAAGCCACTGGACGTTAATACTTGATAATAGTTATAATGTATGTATATATTGTCCAGGACTATTAATGATCAGCAACTTGCAAATTGAAAGAAGAAAAAGTTTCGTGATTATGGCTTATCTTTTCAAGACAGGAAAATTAACTACTAGATTTTTCACAAAAAGGTTGAACCTAGCAGCAAATAATTTTTATTATGTTTTTTTTATTTCCCCCTTATTTTTTTAAATTTCAAAAATTTTTCATCTGCTGTAATTTAATATTTGTAAAACCAAAAACGTTACTTTTTTACTCCAAAAATGTCCATAAGGCGATGATTTTCTGCCATTGAGGCATTTGGCATAACTTCATTGAAATGAAGTTTTGTCCTTAAAAGTTCTTTTACTCTAGAATCTGATATTATGTTTGGCATAGTTATCTTTTTATATCGATATTATATAATAATTAACAAGTTATAATAAATATAACTGTCAATTTGACAGTGTCAGAGTATTACCAACTTAATAAAAAAACACAAGTACAAATAAAAAAAATTTAAAAAAAATATGTATAAATTATTTATAAGTAATAATAAAATGCAAGATTTCGATTTTTTATTTATGATGTAATAAGTAAGGCACTCAGTGTAGGTAGTTCAAATGTCCTACACTTCCATCATTTCTCGATTAAATTAAAATAAGATTTAATTTTGATTTGATGATTTTTGGGATAAAAAGGCGCATTATAACATGGGATATACATATAATTTGTTTTTAAACAGTTTTTTTAAATTTATTTTTTTTTATTTATGGTGTAAAAATTGTTGCACTCAATGTAGGTAGTTCAAATGTCCTACACTGAAATACATATAAATTGCATCATTTGTTGATTCACTGTGAAATAAAATACCAGCAATGTTATATGTTTATTTTTTATAAAATTGTGATTTTAAATAATAATGGAATTGAATTGCATAGCCTATACCATTCCAAATTTAAAAAAATATGTATAAATTATTATTATATTATAATAAAATGCAAGGTTTCGATTTTTTATTTGATTTAAGATAAAATAAATATTATATGGGTGATTCTACAAAAGTTGGACAACTTGATGTCATCAGTCAATAGAGTAGGTATTTTAATATTTTTTGTAAATATTTTAGTATATTACAACGTCCACCCAATTTTAATGTATTTTTTCAAAAGCATCAGTACCTTGGCGTGTCACAACTCCTGAATCAAATTTTTGAGTGGTTTTATTTAAAAATATATTCAATTTATCTTAAATTTTTCAATTTAACTACAAACTATAAAACAATAAATAATGTATTTTTCATATTTTATAATAGATTCGAATAAAAGCAATTTTAAAAAAATGATAATCTTTGTACTCACTTTTACCCGTCAGTTCTGTGTCCATTGTTAAAATTTATAATTCCTGCGAAAATTGAAGTTTAAACGTCAAGTCCTCGTTTTAACTCAAGTGTTGATAAAAAATTACCTACAGAGCCCGCCCTTTGCACGACAGTCATCTTAAAAACAATGCAAGCGGCGAAGTTGTGGTGAATGCACGTGTAGTTCCAGTCAAAATTTCAGTACTGTGGTGAGTAGTTATTTTCTTACGTATATATCATTGTAATTTATACAGTGCTTGCAATTCCAAGTCCGACCACACTGGAAAGGACGGCTGTTCAATACCCGCGTGAAAAGAACAAGGATAGAACGCCAAATAGAATTTGATTGGCCAGCCGGCAGGCTACGACAACGCATACCCATCGCGCACCTCGCAGCGTGCTTGAGCTTGACACGATGATATCAGAAGTTCTGATTCAGAACGAGAACTGCAGTGGTGCTAGCAAGAGGTAGTAAATTTTAGTAAAAAAGATTATTTAATTAAAAAATGTAGCTACACGTTGGAACAAAAAGTTCAGATTTTAATCTGGCATTTTGCTGGTAATTCTGAACGAGAAATTCAAAGATTATTTGCGGGAATGTTCGAGGCCAGACCAAACAGAGAAACAATTCGACGAACCGTTAATAATTGCTTGTTCGAACATTTAATTTAATTTTTCAGTTATTTATTTTTAGAGTTTTATTAGACCAGGGTCGATAATTTTTGAAACCAAAAAAATAACAGTAGGATGAAACCCATTGGAAAAGGAGAAGAATATAATAAAAATAAAAGGAAAAATAAATTACGGGCGATCTGACTTTGGGAAGTGGGAGGGGGGGTTTTAAGGGTAAAAAATGGTTTATCTCGATTTCCGGCAAAACTACAAGTCCTATGGAAAAAAGTTAAATGGCAAAGTTGTAGGTAATAAAAGGATCTACAACTTTTGTAATTACAATTTTTTTACATAACCTCAAAATTTATGGAAAAAATTCAAAAAACCAAGTTTTTGGTTTTTTATTTTTATCTTTTTAAAAAAAAAATTTTTTCCACGAAATTTGGTGAAAACTTACCTTTTTATGTCCCAAATACACTGTAATTTATTTGATTTGAAATATTTATTATTTCGCCTTATTTTGACTTAATATCAAAAAAGCACCCTAATTTTCAATCGAAAATTCTCGCGTCAAAATATCAGCTTTTTTCAAAAAGTCGGTGTGCTTTTTGTTTGTTGAAATCTCTACTTTCTGATGGTGTAAAAAAATATACATACTATGGTAAATGTTCTCAGAAAATGCAAAAAATATTATGGAAAAAAATTTTTTTTTGAAAAAGATAAAAATAAAAAACCAAAAACTTGGTTTTTTGATTTTTTCACATAAATTTTGAGGTTATGTGAAAAAATTGTAAATACAAAAGTTGTAGATCTTTTTATTACCTACAACTTTGACATTTAACTTTTTTTCATAGGACTTGTAGTTTTGCCGGAAATCGAGATAAACCATTTTTTACCCTTAAACCCCCCCCCTCCCACTTCCCGAACTCAGATCGCCCGTAATTTATTTTTTCTTTAATTTTTATTATATTCCCCTCCTTTTCCAATGGGTTTCATCCTACTGTTATTTTTTTTCTCTTTTTACCATTTTTAAAGGCTTCTGCACTGGTCTATATTTTTATTTAGAGTTTTATTTTTATTTTTAGTTATTTTTATTTGAGAAATCTTTTTTATTAAGAATACTATTTTTGTTGTTGCCCTAGATCTCAAGGAAAAAAATTAAAAAATTTTATTTTTAGGATTCGGGTATAAAATATTTAAAAAGAAAATTAAAATGTGCATCTCCACTCTAACGCAGTTTGCTGAACACTAAATCATTTAGTCTAAATGCAGCCAGAGTTGACGGTCAACTGTTGACCTCGCTTACAATTCGCACGCATCCGGGGCTCTGGCCAATCAAATTCTATTTGGCGTTCTATCCTTGTTCTTTTCACGCGGGTATTGAACAGCCGTCCTTTCCAGTGCGGTCGGACTTGCATTTGCAAGCACTGTATAAGACTATATCTGATTTGGTGATAAGTAGCATCCAGTAATAAAAAATATCAGTAAAATACTTAATTCCGAATTATAATCTCAAATTTGTATCCCATTCGTCAGTTTCATGTTCGATGTTTCGGTTATCTTTTTTTCGCAAACTTCAATTTAACTTGTTTATTTAATGTCATTATAAACTCATATAAATTTGGTGTGGGTCCCATATCTAATAATTGAGATATCGGTATACCCAAAATCCACCAGCCGCCACTGATGTGTGGTATTATTTGATTTTAAGATATTTAATGTATAATATGCTCAAAGTTGCAATAAATCTTATATTTTCCAATAAATTAGGTATTTAATTAGTAACCTGGTATACTCGTCACTTCCCTTGCATTTAAATTTAGAAAACAGATATTTCAGAAACTGTTTGAAAAAGTGACAGCAGAAGTACCATTTTTTAAATACTAAATTAATCGTTTTAGCAGGGGAATTTTTACAGTTCTTGGTTAACAATTCGCAAATGAATAAAAAATTTTAACGGCAGTAACTTTAGAATTCAAAGTTGGTAATGCTGACGTCATTATATCGCATTGATGACGTGCACCCATACAGATTTGGCCGCGACTATAAGTAGAAGTAAAAAAATTACCTTCAAAATCTCTGTGAAACCGTTCCCATTCGCCATTAAAGCCTCCTTTTCGTTGTCCAAAATCGTTACGGCGATTAACAAATGAAAGTTTTGACAAGGTAACCCCGTCCATAGCACCTCCCAGAATCGCATGACGTCATCCTGGCTCAACTCGCGCTTAAACCACACCAATAACCAACGGAAGCAGAAAAACATATTTGCAGAATCGTGTTCGTTTAAATAATTCGATAAATTTGGCGAAAAAAATGCCAGCAATTCTTGTAGTTTTTTGAATTGTTCCTTCATGCCAGCCTGGTCAATGTCGAAATTTGAGCTCTGGAAAAAACGAGACGACCTTGTATAATATGTACCTTGGTGTACATATTATTAAACACAGTGGTAACTTTCAATTTCAAAGTTTAAAGTTTCTTATTTTGTATATTTGTTATATACAGCTAGATTCAAAGAATTCGGATGGTAATTACACAAAGAAAACCAAATTCCGTGTCCACCACTGTTCCTACTAGGTACTACCTACATAGTGATTTAAAAAATCGTTTTTTTTAATTTGAAGAAAAAAGTTAAAAAAACATGTTATTTTCTGAAAAACCATTTAAAATTTTTTTTTTTAAAATAATTAAAAAAGCGTAAACTTGTTTTTTTGTTTTTATGAAAAATAATCCTGAAAAAACGGTTTTTAGTTAACATCACTACGCTGGTATAAAAAATACCCTGTATAATATTTTAATAAAATATAGTACCAACAGCAAAATAAAAAAATCAAGTTAGTTATTGCATTTAAACTACTAAAATGGAAAAAATTGCTACTGTCCCTAATGTGTCAACCCATTGTATATAAAAATGGCTGTATTTTTGACGTTTTAAGAGTTAGAAGGTTCAAATTTTGAGCAAACAATAAGAATGTTACGTGTTATAGTGTGTTTAAATTTAAAATCCCCAGGTATTATAGTTTTTGAGATATGGACAATTGTATTCGTCGGGCGCCAAAACGTAAAATCTTTAATATTTCTAAAACTACTTGGACTAGAAACTTCAAATTTGGTGTGAAGTTTACTTAAATTATCACTAAGAATGTGTTAAAATTTAAAAACTCCATCTTTAAAGACTACAGAGATATCGCTTATCTTACCATTATTTTCATGAATCCTACAAAGCACCAAAACGACTCAACCTCGTCCTCTACAAGCTGCAATATTGGCGATAAAAGATCGCTCATTCCTTGCACATAACCCAAATCGAAGTTATACATAACAAAAGTCATCAGAATCTCGAAAAGGGTGTTCAAATTTTTGTTGTTGTCTCCTGCAAAAAACTCCACCGTTCTGTCAGTTCTATTAACGTCCTTTTCAATCAAGGATTTTCTATCCCTGTAATCTGAAAAGTTGTCTTCCTGCGTCTTCGTAATTGTTTTCCACTGCAGTTTCATCTTGTAGTACTCGTCTTTAAGATTTTCCGCTAAATTTTGCCGCTCTTTGTACGTAGAAGTCCAGGGGTAATACTCCAGAAGGTATTTCCATACTTCTTTGCGTATAGATGGGCAAATACCCTAAAAAATAATAACAATTGTAGGATTTTAAGGTTATATGTCAAATTTGACGTTTAAACGTCAAATTTGTGAGGTTACGTCATAAACGTTAAAACATAACCCAACAAAATTGTTGGGTTATGTTTAAAACGTCAAAATGCACTTGTGCAGTTGTTTACCCCTCTGAAGATTAAATTTTTGACGGACTCGACGTCTTCGATTTTTCCCTCGAAATCCATGTGGTCCCTCCATAATTCCTGGCTCAGCGGTTTAAGCCGGGGGAATTCCGGTCTTACAGGTAGTTCGGGGACTGTCGCAACGACCTCGTAGTCGTTGCTGTTGCCAGCAAAGTCTGTTGTGTTGTTTGAGCCGTACTCTGTGATGCTTTTGTTTAGGGCTTCCCTGTCGTGATCGCTTATTTCCTTTTTGTCCATTGTTTTATACACTAAACAAAGAAAACAAATATAACTACTGGTATTTTATGGTGTTATCTTTATTTACTTAGGGTTGTCACTTTTGAGAAGGCTTCAAAAGTGGTTTCAACTGGTTGTGTTTGAAAGTTCCTAACCAACCGCCATATTCCTGAATCGTCAGTTGGCAGATTCAACTCGGCAAATGATTTTGTTAACTGTTGTATTTCCAATGTATTATCTTGAACGTAATACAAATTTCTGTCACGTTTGGAAGGTACGACCTTCATAAACTTTTTTAAATGGCCTGCCATATGATCGCAATTAGTTTGAAAGAGAAATATACAGATTGTATCCCCTTGTCCATTGTAGACAGTCAACTCTCTGTTCTTATGAGACGATTTAAAACTTTTTATGTCTCTAAATGGTACTCTTAAACTCCTCAATCGATTGCTATAATCAGAAGGCAAACTGCCCGATATAGTCCTTGTTCTTTTCTGTATTGTGTTTACAACAGCCCATTCTTGATCTTGCATGTCCGAATCAACAGTAATATCATTAGGTTTCCATTCCAAAAACCTCTCTCTAGGGTCCGTTTTGGCCTCATTTATGTAAACAGTACCCAAACTATTCAAAAACTGCATGTAACTCGCCTGTGCTTGCTTCAAAATAACACCGTCCTGCGTAAACAAATCAAAAACTTCCTCAATGTCGCCCATTTTACAAAAAAAATCACTTAATATCGAACAATGAACCACGTCACTCTTAAATTACATTTTCAGCACGGTTTAATCACTGAATTAATTTCACTGGGTAGTTCTTAAAAATAATTACAAAAACAATGCGTAATAATTTGAAATGTTATTAAAAGGTTTTTATATCTCATGACACATCCGTCAAACATATGTCAAAATTGAGCATAGGAATGTGTATTATTGGACAAAAGGGTAACTTTGATGTTTTGCACGTAGATGGCGTTGTACATAAGTCAAGATTACTTAGGGTAACTCGTTGATAGATGGCGGGAGAGTTTAAAAACGCGTATTTCTTTTGAATTAAGGATTTACCATAAAAAATCTCGAAGGAGAAATTTACCCCTTCAGGGATTTCTATGCATTCACTGTGAAATAATGAATATGGAATTCTATTGGAGTTTGTAAGTAAAATCTGTCAACTTAAGCCAGTGAGTCGCCTTATTAATTAGTTTCTAGATCGCACAGATAAGTCGGTAATGAACCAAAATAGAAAATTTCCTGTGGTCCATGGAGATAATGCGGGCTCGTGAATAATATTTCCATGATCCTTGGTTACGATGCATCGCGATGTGTCTCTCTATCTCATGTTAGTTATCTAGTCGAGGTCTATTGTTGCATTACCTACCTCTAACGCTATGCACTCTATCAGAATTTCCAATACTACGAAAACAATGGGCTGTATTAACATCACGATAATCCATTAATCCATTATTTATTTGTTTCTCGATGGATGCAGACAGCGTCTCGAATATTAATTTTCTTTAATGCCCAGTTTATGAACTTTAAAATATTGTTATTGAAAAACTATTAGATGGGTTTAAAAGAGAATTGTTCTTTTAGTATACATTCCAAAAATTATAAAGATCGGACAAGTATTAAGGAAGTTAAGAAGGCCCTAATCGGGGTGTGTTGGTGGCCACTTCTACAAAATGTGACCGATTTTAATAAAATTTGAAGGGAATACTGACAATAGTAAGCCAAATAAATCCCGTGAATTTTATTAAAACTTTAAAATTATTGCCAAAGTTACTGCACTAAAAAAAACGAAAAATAAAATACAAATATATCTATAACTTCTACAAATGTAGTCCGATTTTAATAAAATTTTGTGGGTGTATCAACAAAAGTGGGCTCTAAAATCCTAAATAATTTCCTGAAAGTTACAGGGTGTTTAAAAATTCAATTGGGCACCAAAATTGACTTTCTCATTTCAACTTTTTTAATCATTTTAATTGTAGACTACATCACAGTCGTTTTTTCATGCATGACTATTTTCTGCGTTCTGGACCTCCATATCTAATAAGCTTCAAGATCCAACAGTAACAATTTAATTAAATATAATTTCCTTACTAATTACCCACCGTTGAGCGTACGGCTAATTATTTTCTTCAATTTGCACATGTGAACTGAACATTCACATGTAAATTTAAATACTAATTTTATAGCCTATTTACCTAGTCGAGAAATTTATTAAAAGAAATTGTGTTTTATTATTCAAATTTCATCAGTTTTATTAGGTAAAAAGATTTAATAGTATATTATGTATCAAGTTTGATAAACGCCATTTTATACACGAATTTAATTTAGTTAATGAGTTTATAGAAAAGTTTATACTTACTATACTTTTTCTACGACAAATACTTATTATTATCTTAAAATGATTTAAATCAAAAATTTGTATAGAGCGCCATCTATGAAACAACAGGGGAAACTGTCAAATGTCATATTTTTATATTTTATAAACACAATTATAAAGGTTATAAATCGAAATATAAGTCCTCATAAAACATTTTCTTTACTTTCACTGTGAAAAACTGTTAATTTTCAAGAAATACATTTCGATTTATAACCTTTATAATTGTGTTTATAAAATGTAAAAATTTTACATTTGACGGTGACACACAGATTCCCCTATTGTTTCATAGATGGCGCTCTATACAAATTTTTGATTTAAATCATTTTAAGATAATAATAAGTATTTTTCGTAGAAAAAGTATAGTATTTACCTCGTTTATAAACTTTTCTATACACTCATTAATTTAAGCACTCGCTCGCCAGCTCGCCCGTGCCTAATAATATACTATTATAGTTTAAAATGTATTTTTGTGAGAATGTTTCAACTATTGCACAAAATATGGTTATTATATTATATTTTATAAAATAGTTCAAATATTCTCAAAAAATGCATTATAAACTAAAAAAATGATTTTATAAAATAACTTGTAAACAATTTAAATTTTGGACTTGTACTGTTCTTGATCTCACCGATTCAATTGAGCTTAACATGAATATTTTCACTATTTGGAATTATTTTTTATTTTATAATAGATTTGATATTTTAAAATCAAGAATCCATGACTGGTAACTTAATAATAATTATTATAGTTTGACAAATAAAATTTTGCCTTGGAGCCACCCGTTTGGTATCTACGCCAATGTACAAAATAGAAGTGTGCATGTAGTGTGTGTAGTGCATGGAGAGTGTGGAGCAATGTTCATATTATTATGGCAGGCCCCTTCTCTATTATCGGACATGTCGAACTCGGCCAGGGTACACAATAGCAAAATTTCGAGATAAGCAAACACAATTACCGAGATTTTCCGAAAAATAGCTAATCGTATTCATGAATACGATATATCGAATGGACCCCCGCGTGGTGTGAGGCGGGTTGCCGCCGAGCTTTAGTTGCCGAACGAAACAATGGACATCATCATCGGTGAATGGCAATTATAAAATTTGTAAAATTGCCCCACACGATTAATTTTCCATATTGTTATTAATAACTTTTATGTGTGATGATGTTTTTGTTTGTAGTTGCCACGAAATTAACGTTTTTGCATATTTAAGCGACCACCTTTTGTTTTGTTAGTGTGCTTTTGTTGACAAATTTATTAGTTTAAAGATCGTTTACAATTAAAAGACAGTAGTTGTTTTTATAAATTAATTTACATGGTAATTTAATACTTACAAACCATAAATTTTAAATTGTGCATTGTTTGGCGCACTACATGGACAATCCCAAGCAAAATGACCATAAAATAAAATGATGGCAAGCTATGACTATAAATGAAAATATAAATATAAAAAGCTAAAATGACCACAAACTGAAATGATGACAACCTAAAATGCCCACAAAATAAAATAATGCGAGCCATAATGATGACAAGCTTAAATTACCACAAACTAAATGATGAGCTAAAATGATGACAAGATATAATGACGACAAGCTAAAATGATGACAAGCTATATAAATAAATATAAATATGACAAGCTGAAATGACCACAAAGGAATAGATAAGCTAAAATTACCACAAATTAAAATGATGACAAGCTATGATGACAAGCTGAATTGACAATAAGCCAAAATGACGATACATAAATATAAATATGACAACCCAAAATTCAAAAACTAAAATGATGACAAGATTAAAAGACCACAAACTAAATGACAAGCTAAAATGATGACAAGCCATAATGGCAACAAATATTAACGATAAGCTAAAATGACGATAAATAAATATAAATATAACAAGCTAAAATGTCCTCAAACTAAAATGATTACAAGTTTAAATGACCACAAAGAAATATATAAGCTAAAATTACCACAAATTAAAATGATGACAAGCTATAATGACAAGTTGAATTGGCAATAAGCTAAAATGAAGATACATAAATATAAATATGACAACCTAAAATGACAAAAACTAAAATGATGACTAAATTAAAAGACCACAAACTAAATGACAAACTAAAATGATGACAAGATATAATGACGATAAGCTAAATTAACGACAAGCTAAAATGATGACAAGCCATAATGACAACAAATATTAACGATAAGCTAAAATGCCAATAAATAAATATAAATATGACAAGCTAAAATGTCCTCAAACTAAAATGATTACAAGTTTAAATGACCACAAAGAAATATATAAGCTAAAATTACCACAAATTAAAACGATGACAAGCTATAATGACAAGTTGAATTGGCAATAAGCTAAAATGACGATACATAAATATAAATATGACAACCCAAAATGACAAAAACTAAAATGATGACAAGATTAAAAGACCACAAACTAAATGACAAGCTAAAATGATGACAAGATATAATGACGACAAGCTAAATTAACGACAAGCTAAAATGATGAAAAGCTATAATGACAACAAATATTAAAGATAAGCTAAAATGACGAAAAATAAATATAAATATGATAAGCTGAAATGTCCTCAAACTAAAATGATGACAATTTTAAATGACCACAAAGGAATAGATAAGCTAAAATTATCACAAATTTCGTTTGTGGTCATTTTAACTTGTCATTTGGTTTGTGGTCAATTAAGTTTGTCATCATTTTAGTTTGTAATAATTTTAGCTCATCATTTCGTTTGTGGTCATTTTAGCTTGCCGTCATTTATAGCTTGTCATCATTTTATTTTTTTTCATTTAAGCTTGTCTTTTAGTTTGTGGTCATTTATAAATAAGCTTGTCATCATTTTAGCTTGTCATATTTATATTTATGTATCGTCATTTTAGCTTATTGTCAATTCAGCTTGTCATTATTTAACATAACAGATTTTATTATTTTAGCTTGTATTTTTTTTAACTTTTTGTCAAATGTTATAATTTATCATCATTTTTGCTTTTGGATATTTCAGTCTTTTATAATTTTAGTTTGTCATTTCATTTGTGTTGTTTTTTCTTGGTCAACCCCATTTTATCGACTATATTAAACATCTAGATCTACATAGATGTAAAAAAGTAGTTATTTTTTTTGTTTTTATTTTGAAAATAGAAAATTTTAATATTACGTAATTAAAATTGTTGGTGTAATTAAAACAACAAAGTCAAACTACTAAAAAACAAAGTCGATCTAAAAAACTGTTTTATTGTAATTGTTAAAAAATTAATTGTGTAAAATATATTTTAAATTATCGTAGTGGCTAGAGACACGTCCACCAAGCCCTACAATCTTACAAAGAAGACTATAGGTATAATATAGTAATAAAATTATTAATTCATATTTTTATTTGTTCATTGTGAAGATGAAATGCTATTTAATATAAAGCCAATTAAAATAAGTATATTGTGCGTAAATTTATTGCCACAATTCCCCATTCCAACAGTCTTAAATGTTTAATAA